CCGGGAGAACGAGGGGACGTGAAACCCAGTGAGAGACCCAGAAGGAGCAGCCGGACACGGCAAGGTGGTAGTGTGACGCGCGGTGACTGGTCCCGAAGTGGGATCAGCCAGCGCCACAGAAACAGGCGCAGGAAGAGGCGTAAGTGTCGTGCTGTCACGAAAGAAGCAGTGAGAGGCTCCAGAGTCCAGCGTGAACGACAGCGAACCGTCCTCTGAGGTAGCCGCTGGACTAGAGTCTACACAAGAACCTACACTAGCAACAGGCAACTGAGCAAGGCTAGCACCTAAGCTAACAACACCAGAGTAAGCAGAGTCAGAAACACTAGAGTCAACAACAGCATACATAGCATGGGGAGTACCAATGAGATCAACTAACTGCTCAGCAGACATGCCCCACAGAGCGGAGCCGTAGCGCTGAACAAGAGGCAGCCAGTCAGGGGCAGGAGCACCAACCCCGTAGACCAAACGAACCGTGTCAGTGAGCTGAGCAAAGCACTGACCAGGGGGGTGAAACCGGCCACAAGGGTGGCCACGACGAGGGCCTGTCAGAACCTGGTAGGTGCAGGGAGTGTAAGCAGCACCGCGCTGGGTCTGACGCAGCCCCGACCCTGGAGCCAGCTGCTGCCGCTGCTGCTGCTGAGGCTGCTGGGAGGAGAGGGGCTGCTGGTGCTGCAGAAGCTGCTGCTGACGCTGAGCCTGGTACCACGCCGCTGCTCCACCAACTGAGGCAGGAAGTACAGGAGGCGACTGACGAACTCGGGCGTCGCCACCACCAGCAGGCGCAGTGGAGTCACCAGTCACTGCACGAGGCGCCTCTCCAGGCCCTGAACCTCCACCGCCGCCAGGCGCAACGCCACCTCCACTACCTCCGCCTCCACCTCCACTACCACCACCAGAACCGCCTTTCTTGCCACTCCTACCGCGGGACCGCGACGCAGTCGTAACAGCAGCTGCAGTCGCGTCAGTAGCGGCAGTGGCAAGTGAGGCAGTAAAGGTGGGTAACTGCGGGACTGTGCACCCGTGGAAGAGTGGGGGGGGCACAGCACCAGAGGCAGCGGCTACCGAGCGAAGGTTGCTCTCGACGTCCTTGAGTGCAGACTCAAGGACCTCGACGGTGAGCTCACTAGGGTGCTTCAGCAGAAGCGCGTCGCGAACGGAGGCAAGGCGGTCAAGGAGGCTAGTGGCGATGAAATAGATAGTAATCGCCATAGGGGGAGGAAGCAGTGCAAGCTGTGCCTCAGTGCAAGCAGCGCGGTAACTAGCGTCGAGCGAGCGGAGGTGAGCGATCAAGTCAGCAGAGCGCTCAAAAGACGCTAGGTCAGGAAACAGGAACGGGAGGAACAGGCGGCCAAGAGAGACAGCAGCGGGAGTAGAGTAGCGGGCCTTAATCGCAGTGAGGTACGCAGCAGCGGTGCGAACCTGAGTGAAGTGAACCTCCTCAGACTCAGGGAGGAGGCTGCTGAGCGCGATGCAGGCCGCAGCGTCACGTGACGTCCAAGCCGTCTGGTCAGCTCGCTGAGTGGCAAAGCGGGCTCTAGCGGCGTCGTCAGGGGCAGGTCCTAAAGGCGTAGGGTCGGGGGGCGCAGGTAGGGCACCAGTAGCGTGCGCCCAGAGGGTCTCGCCTGCCTGGACCTGACTCTCTAACAGGCGGCGAGCGCGAAGAAGCCAGACTGGGAAATCGAGCGGGCGACCGTCAGCATCGAAACGAAGGACGCGAGGGGTCGCCATAGTGTGCAAACGGAATTGGCAGGGAAAGCAGGGCGCAGCGGCAAGGGAGAACGGGCAGGAAGAGCGGGCAAGAGCGGGCGGGTAGGTCAGGTGTGGCGGGCGCGCGGGTAGGGCAAAGGCGCCGGGCCTGGGCGACGGGCTAGGGCGCGAGCCAGGGCGACGGGCTAGGGCGCGAGCTGGGGAGACGGGCTGGGGCGCGGGCCAGGGCGACGGATCGACGGGCAGCAGGGGGAAACGCGGGTCGACAGGCAGCGGGAGGAAGCGCGGGTCGACGGGCAGCGGGGGGAAGCGCGGGTCGACGGGCAGCGGGGGGAAGCGCGGGTCGACGGGCAACGGGGAAAAGCGCGGGTCGACGGGCAGCGGGGGGAAGCGCGGGTCGACGGGCAGCGGGGGGAAGCGCGGGTCGACGGGCAGCGGGGGGAAGCGCGGGTCGACGGGCAGCGGGGGGAAGCGCGGGTCGACGGGCAGCGGGGGGAAGCGCGGGTCGACGGGCAGCGGGGGGAAGCGCGGGTCGACAGGCAGCGGGGGGAAGCGCGGGTCGACGGGCAGCGGGGGGAAGCGCGGGTCGACGGGCAGCGGGGGGAAGCGCGGGTCGACGGGCAGCGGGGGGAAGCGCGGGTCGACGGGCAGCGGGGGGAAGCGCAGTTCGACGGCAGCGGGGGGGAAGCGCGCCTCGACGGGCATCAGGGGGGGAAAAGCGCAGCGCGACCGGCAGCGGTACGCTAGATCGGGCTACGCTAGATCGGGAGGAAGAACGAGCGGTAACGAACGAACGGGACTAGATCGGGCCGGCACTAGGCTCGGGCAAGACGGGCGAAACGAGAGCTAGGATCAGGCTCGGGTGGTACGATCGGAGAACGGAGAAACGGGATCCCACAGGATCCTAACCTAACTGATACCATGTCAAAATGAGGAATGAATGATGCATTGATGTTGGTTGGGGTACATATAGCTAACCCTAAGTTTTGTACCCCCTAAGACAAACCTCACTATAGGCTACAACATTTGACACCCTTAGAGTACATGGCTAGTTAGGACTATTTATCTTGCTTGTATTCTATCAATCAATCAACCTTTTCATTTACATTCACTATGATCAAGGGTTCCTACCAAGACTTCCGCTACCAATTCTCTCAGAGCACTTCCTATCCTATCCAAAGATCCTCACTCTAACAATCTACTTCGCTAAGACGCCACCTTCTGTAACAACTCAACACCAATACACGATAATGGGATTATTGAGAACGGCTATCGAACGTGACTGGCTTTAGGGCGTGGGCAGCGCGTTCATTTTCTCCACTTTTCCAAAATTTTGACGCCCGTCGAATCAGGAAAATACTGTAGCATTTTTGTACCGCCCTTAGTTTGTGTCCCGGGTGGGACACGCGCGTCCAGAATTAGGCACAGGTCCCGCCACACTTTTGCCCAACCGCCCACCCAATGAGGTAACCCTGTGCTAGTGGATCTGGTGACGGGGCGCAGTACGAAGCTGTATTTGTGAACCATTGAATTTGCGAGGGTCGTACGCACTTGACGAACTCGTGGTGCGGTTTCGCTGACCTGCACACAGGCATTCTCGAATGATGCGCGTGTTGTTCGCGGCCGTCGTGGGAACGTGTTCTGTTCGGTTGACTTGACGACACGGAAAACAGCCACCGTTCATCCACTGTATACTCCGTCGTGTCCACTCGTTACCCTAAATCAGGGTTACAAACCGCTGAATCTGGTAACTGTTTCGGGCTAAGCCAAGAAAATGAACGCGCTGCCCCCGCCCTTAGTAAGTAGGTGAAATCTACAGTAGAGAGTTGGTTAGCAAAGCGAAATCTAGCCTAGATCCATGCAGGCAGCCCCAGACAAGGGTGCACCCGCTCCTATTGAACGAGCACAACTATACACTCTCCAACCAAATGTTGAGGTAAAACCATTCAGCCCAACACCAAGTACCATACTACCAGTACCCTTGTTCTCAGCCAGCTCTATCGGCGGTGCCCATTAGCAGATCGTAACATCTCCTTTCCTCCACTGCCTCCTCCCCCTCCCTCTCCACTTGCCTGCTGCTTCCTCCCACTAGACCCTGCCCCTGCAGGCGAACCCCACTCACTCCCGCCTCCTCCTGTTCTCCCTCCTGTCGCACCTCCCCTGTCCCCCCTCTCTCCCCCTCCCCTCCCTTCCCCTCCGCTCCCCATCGCCCCCCAGTCCCCCTCCCCTGCTCCGGGTGATGGGTGAAACCCCCCTCTCCCCTTCCCCTCCCCCTGAAACCCCCCCATCCCCCCTCCTCTTCCCCTGGGCCTCCCCCAGAAGGTGTGGGGGGACCAAGCCCCCCTCTCTCCATCACTCCATTCTCCTTACCTCCAGGCTCATCCCAACCCATCCTCCCCCCATCCGAATCCCTCCTCCCCTCAGCCCTGCCCCCATCACTGCCTCTCCCCCCACCCCCCCTCCACATCTCCAGGGGGAAATGATCCCTGGGGTCACGGGGGAGAGCTGCCCCCCCCCCATACATCCCCCCTCCCCCCCCAACAAACGGAATCCCAGGCCCGGGCCCCATCCCATACCCTCCGAACCCACCACCCATCCTCATTCCCGGGCCTATCCCAGGTCCGGGGCCTCCCGGGCCTAACCTCATGCCTGCCTCCCTCCACCCGTCCCTCCGCCAAACCTCGTGCATGCCCCCTCTTCCAAACCCAGCTGCTGCTAGATGCTCCGGGCGGCGTAGCGCGGCAGCTTCCCGCAGGCTGTGCCTCCCCCGGATAGGCCCTCCCCCTCCCACATGCTCCCCCCCTCGCCGGTGCAACTCCACTAGCTCCTCCATCCCTCCAGCGCCCCCTCTCCCCCCTCCCATCCCCCCCAACGGCCCTCCCCTCATCCCCATCCCGCCAGCAGCCGCCGCAGCTGCAGCCGCAGCAGAAGCACGGCGGGCCGCCAGGTGTCGCGGCCCCATTGGTGGCCCAATCCACCCTGCAGGCATCCCAGCAGCAGCAGCGGCAGCAGCAGCAGCGGCAGCCATAACAGCGGGACTCATCGGCCCCCCCACTGCCCCCCCAAACCCCCGGCCAGCCCCGGGGGGGAGCCCGCGGGGGGGAGGGTGCAGCCCCCCCGGCCCCCATCCGCCCCCTGCCCCCCCTACTCCCCCCGGCCCCAGGAAAAACTCCCTGTCAGGGCTCCTGCGCATGCCCCCTGCTGCGCCCGCTCCTGGCAGCCTGGGACTGGGGCCATCTCGCCATGCAGCAGAAGCAGCAGCGGCGGCAGCAGCAGCGGAGCGGGGGAGCAGCATGGGGTCGAGGGGGAGGGGGAAGCCATCGGCGTCCAGAGGCGGGTCCAACGGCCAATCGCTGAACCCCGTTTCACGCCGCCCTTCCCGCCCTTCTCTCCCTTCTCTCCCCTCCCTGCCTTCCCTGCCGCTGTCTCTGTCTCGGCCGCTTTCTCTTGCGTCTCTCCCGTCCCTGCCTTCCCACTCCTCCCTGCCCTCCCTCCACTCCCTGCCTTCCCTCCCTTCCATCCCTTCTCTCCCCTCTCTTCCCTCTCTCCCTTCTCTTCCCTCTCTCCAATCTCCTGCCTCTCTGCCTTCCCTCCCCTCCCTCGCTCTCTCCTCTCCCGCCCTCCATGATCCACGTCCTCCCAACATACTCTCCCTTTCCTGCTCTCTCTCCCTCTCCCACCCGCTCGATCCCTCCCTCACTTCTCTTCCTCCTACACCCCCTCTCTCCTCCCTGCTCCCCCCTCTTTCCTCCCTGCTCCCCCTACCAATCCCACCCTCCTCGCTGTCCTCCTCCCCTTCCACACTGCTCATCCGCCCCCTCCCCTTCTCCACAGCCCGTCTGCTCCCTTCCCTCCTCTCACTCCCTTCCCTCCTCTCACTCCCTTCCCTCCTCTCACTCCCTTCCCTCCTCTCACTCCCCTCCCTCCTCTCACTCCCCTCCCTCCTCTCACTCCCTTCCCTCCTCTCACTCCCCTCCCTCCTCTCACTCCCTGCCCGCCTATCAAGACTATCTGCTCTCTTCCTCTCCTCTCTCTTCCCCTCCTCTCCCTTACCCCTCTTGCTCTCTTCCCCCTTGTCTCGCTTGCTCTCCTCTCCCTTGCTTCTCTTGCTCTCTTCTCCCTTCTCCTTTTTGCCTTCCTCTCCTTTCTCCCTCCTCCCCTCCTCTCCCTTCTCCCTCCTCCCCTCCTCTCCCTTCTCCCTCCTCCCCACTTCCCCCTTTTCCCTCCTCCCCTCCTCTCCCTTCTCCCTCCTCCCTTCCTCTCCTTTCTCTCTCCTCCCCTCCTCGCCCTTCTCCCGCCCCACATCAAAAGACGAACTCGAGTTCTTTCTGTGAACTCGTTCCCTCCTCGACCCCTCTCTCTCCCCTTCCTTCCTTCTCTCCCCTTCTCTCTTCTCTTCCTTCTTCGCCTTCCCTTTCCCTTCCTCCCTTCCAATGTCACGCCCCTTCTCTCTCCCCTCTCTCTCCCCACCCTTCTCCTCATCTCCTCCCTTCCTCTTATCTAAATCCAACTCGCCCTTACTTTCCTCCCCCATCATATCCTGAAGTTCTCTCCGTCCCTGCTCCTGCTCCTTCCGAACCTTTAGGCTAGGCCTGGTTGCCGAACCTGGAGTCAAGGAGGCCTTGCTTGTCGAACCTGGAGAGGACAAGCCCCTGCTTGCCGAACCTAGAGCCGATGCAGCCGAACCTGGAGCCGAAGCTGCCTCCAAGTCTGGGAGCACATGAAGAGGGGAAATCTCATCCATAGCATCAGGTTCGGAACCATCAGGCTCGGCAGCATCAGGTTCGGTGACATCGGAAAGAGCAGGCTTGAGTCGGCTCAACACCAGAGCATCCATATCCATAGCTTCGGTAGCAGCAGCAGCTTCGTAACCATCCACTTCTGTCGTGTCAGGCTCAGAAGCGTGGGGCACGTTCCGAGGGGCCTCAAAGCTAGGCTCGGAGACTGCAGGTTCGGAGGCATCGGGTTCGGTGACATCAGAGAATGTGGGCTTCAGTCGACCGTGAGCATTGGAAGAATCACTCTGCAGACCCGGCTCAGGTTCGTATCCAGGTTCAGGTTCAGGCTCGGGTTTAGGCTCGGGTTTACGCTCGAGTTTAGGCTCGGGTTTAGGTTCAGAAGAGGCTGGGCGCAGGGCATCCCCCTTGGCAGCCTCGGGCTCGCTCTTGAACCGCTCCATACCCTCCCCGACCGCACCACCCTCCCGCCTGCTCTCCTCATCAGGCCTTTTCTCCTTGAGCGCAGCTGCAGAGCCTTCAGCGCCCATGCCCTGAGCACCGGCATTAGCATCGGCGTTGGCGTCCGCATTAGCATCGGCATCGTCACTCACATCAGACAGCGCATCGTCATTCCAACACACCATGCCCTCCTCTCCCATCATGCCCTCCTCTCTCTCCACCCCCTCCTCCGTTGCCTCCTCTTTCACAATCTCCTCCCCCAGCTTCTCTCCAATCCTCCCCACTCCCAGGCTCCCAGCCCTTATCATCGCACTCTCTGACTTGCCTGTCTCCTCCTCCCTTTAGCCCCCTCTGCCTTCAACCACTGCTTCTCCTCGCCCTCCCCCGCCACCCCTTGTCTCCCCACCACCACCTCCTCACCGCCTCTCCCCTTCGCCTCCTTACCCTCCTCCCCCTCTGTCTCAACCTCTCCCTTCTCTTCCTTCTTCTCCTTCACCCTCATCTCTCCCTTCACCACCACTCGCTCACCCGCATCTACAGCAGCCACGCCAGGCACCACCCCAGCCAATGCACCCGTCTCTCCTCTCTGCGCCTCTGTCCCTTGCGCTGCTGCTATCACTGCCTTTGCAGGCTGCACGTCTGCTGTACGCAGCGCTGCTACCGGCTCCTCTGGCGCTGCGCTGCTCCTCTTCAACCCAGCCTCAACACGACCCTCCTCCTCCTCCTTCATCCCCTCTTTTCCCCTCCCCCCATCTTCCCCTCCCCCTCTTCCCACCAGCCTATCTCCCCTCTCGTTCATCACACTTTCCCCCTTCTCCTTCCTCTCCCCTTTACGCCTCTTCTCCTTCTCGCCCTTGCCTCTCCTCTCTCCCTTCTCCCCTCGCCCTCTGTCCTTCCCCCTCTCTTCCCCTCTATCCTTCTTCTCCCGTTTCTCTCTCTTCTCGCTCCTCTCCCTCTTGTCCCTCTTTCTCTTCTCCCCTCTCTCTTTCCTCACACCCCCATCCGCACTCTCCTCTCTCCCTCCCTCATCCCTCTCCATCCTCTCCCCCTTCAACTTCTCCTCTCGCTTCTCACTCTCCCCACCCTTTTCCCCAACCCCTGCCTTCCCGCCCCACTCCCCTTTCACCTCACTCCTCTCCTTCTCCTCTCCCACGCCCCACGTCCCCTCCGCCCTCCTCTGCTGCTCCGTGCCTCCTCCCATGGTCCCCATCAATGCGCTTTCAGGCACAACCAGCCCTGCGCCCTTCTCCCTCACGCCTGTGCTGTGCGCTGCATCCCCCAGCCCTGCGCCCTTCTCCCGCATGCCTGCACTGTAAAGCCCATCATCGTCCAACCCTGCGCCTGCAGAGCTGCAGGAGACCAGGAGAGGCACGCTGAAACCCACGCACTCCTGCTCATCCCCCACCACCACGTGCGGACGTGCAGGGTGAGGCGCGGCTACCGCGGCTACAGCGGCTGCTGCCAGTGATGCAGGAGGCGGCCCTGAAGCCGCCTCACAGCCCGCAGCAGCTGCTGCAGGCACCGTGACGGCTGTTGGCTGTGGGGGAGCAGGCTCGGATTCCCCACGCGGGCTGTGTGCACGTGGACTGTCAGCAGGGGCTGTGGCGGCTGCTGCACGTGCGTGAGCAGCCTCTAGCTCCGCAGCACGTGGAGCAGCTGCTGCAGGCGCAAGAGCCACTGCTGCTGCCAGCGATGGTGCCTTGTGAGGCGCAGGGGCTGTAGCAGCTGCAGAAACCGTTGCTGGGGGCACTGCTGCATGCGGGGAGGAAGTTTGAACCGCTGCTGCACTCTCCACCGCCTCTCCCACCACCCCTGCCTCCTCTTTCTCCTGCTGTGCCTCCTCCTCGTCCTCCTCCCTCCACGGCTCGTTCAAGTCCACTAGACCCAGCTTCGGTCTTGACGCCTCCTGCAACCTCTTGTCTTGAGGTGACCCTTCTTGTTGTAACCCTTCATGTTGTAACCCTCCATGCGACCCTCCTTCTAACCGCATCTGCAGTCCATGCCAACCAACCCCTCTCTCCCCCTCCTCCTGCACCGCCCCTGCATGTCTCTCTGTACTCACCGTCCCTAAACCCCAATCCGAACGCCCCAACCCAGCGGCCTTTTCCATATCCCACCCCACTGCCCGCCCCACCTCGCCCCTCTCCTCATGCTGCATTGCGCCCTGCCTCGTGCCACAGCCACCACCCACACCCTCAGCTGTATCCACCCTTCCTATATGCGCCCCCCCTATATCCTCCCTTTCAAAACCATCCCTGTCTCCTGGCCTGCTGTCCCCCCTACAAGGCAGCATCGCTGCTTCTACAAGTGCCGCTAGAGACGGGCTTGCCGCCCGCTCAGGCTGCATTCCCGATACAAGCAGCCTCACTGCAAGCACCTCCGCTGCCTCTGCTGCTATAAGGTCTAACCCGGACAAACAATTGTCTTCATCACTTCTACGCTCCTCGTTCCCAGTCTCTCCTCCTGAACTTCCTGTTCCTACTCCTGCACTTAACTGAGCGACACCCACACTTAGCTGAGAAACACCCGCACTTGACTGAACCAGCGCCATGCCAGTGTCACCCCCAGCGTCCCTCCGCCCCTCCCCTCTGGGCTCTACCCACGCTGCACTCTGCCGCCCAAGAGAATCCTCATGGACACGTGGCTGCGCATCTGAGAGCAACGCGAGCCGATCCAACGGTGTAGATTCCACCACAGGCCCACCCGTCTCCCTCCCATCCCTCCTCCCTTCTTTCCCCCAACGCTGCTTCTTCCTGCGCCTCCTACTGCCACTGCTTCTGCTGCTGCTGCTGCCACCACTGTCACTCCCTGCTCCTCCCCCCTCGTCCTCCTCCTCCTTGCTTGTCTGCCCACCCGCCTCTGCAGCAGCAGCAGCAGCAGCAGTAGCAGTAGCAGTAGATCGAACATGTCTAGAGCCAAAGCTGCTGCTTCTGCAGCTGTGGCATGCGGGGAAGAATCAGCAGGAGGAGCAGAGCAAGGCACGGGATGCTGCGGAGCAGTGGCAGGAGAGTGGTGAGGCTCGTGGCTGATGGTGGCATGTCCTGGTGAATGGAGGACGCTGTCATGTTGGGTGTGGAGTGGTGAGGTTTGGTGCAGTGGGGTTTGGTGTGGCGGGCTTTGGCGCTTTGCGCGGGTACCTGGCAGGAAGGGAGAGCAGCAGCAGCAGCAGCAGCAGCAGCGGCAGCAGCAGCAGCAGCAGCAACGGGAGAGGGTATGGGCACAGGGGCAAGGTGGCAGGAGCGGGAAGATGAAAGGGATGTGTATTAGAATGAAAGGGATGTGTATTAGGGGGTGAGTCTTCAAAATGTAGTAACAGGATGAGACAGCAGTGCGAGTGACTGACGCATAATGCAAGGATGGTTGTTTGCAGGGAAATAATGGAGACGAAGGGACAAGGGGAAACTGCTTGCTGGTCCCGTCCCCCACACAACAGCCCGTCCCCCACACGACTAGCCCGTCCCCCACACGACTAGCCCGTCCCTCACACGACTAGCCCGTCCCTCACACGACTAGCCCGTCCCTCACACGACTAGCCCGTCCCTCACACGCCACGACATGACGAGGAGGAAAGGTAGAAAGGAGGAAGCACAGTAGCAATGAATCTGTAACGTTGCAGAACCAAGCACCACACACCAAGAACCACACACCAAGAACCACACACCAAGCACCACACACCAAGCACCACACACCAAGCACCACACACCAAGCACCACACACCAAGCACCACACATCAAGCACCACACACACCAAGCATCACATACGCCACGCGGCCTCACCGTCACCCCGCGCGGCCTCACTCACCTTCACCCCACGACGAAGCAGAGCTGCTGCGCATCACACCTCGCCCCGTGGGACTCGTGCACGCGCGAATCGCGTCCCTCTCGCCCGAACCACTGCCACTCTCCACTCCCTTCACCCTGCCTCTAGGCGGCGACATGGGCCCCCCAAACCCCTCCTCACTTCTGCGCCCCGCACTCCCATCCGCATTCCTCGTCCCCCCAAACACATCAGTGCTCCTGTGCCCCGCAAACCCCTCAGCATGCCTCTGTGCTGCAAACGCGTCCGCGCTTCTCGCCCTGGGTACGCCTGCTGCTCCTCCCTTCTCTCTGCCCATCCGCTCCACAACCCCCATGGGGTCTCCTCCTCCCTTCACCCCTCCTGCCGCTGCTGTTCCTCCCATCGAGTCTGCTGCTGCTGGTCTCCAGGTCCCACCTGCTGCTGCTCCTGCTGTTGCTGTAAAATCTACCCCAGTCGCAGTGCGGTTACCAGCATCAGTATGGTTACAAGCCTGTGCATGATTACCCGCATGAGCGTGAGCACCAACGTGCATGTGGTTACCAGCAGCGTGGGCGTCGTTACCAGCATGCCTGTGGTTACCGGGGTGAGCAAGGTTACTGGCCGGCACATGGTTACCAGCAGGACAGGTTACTGCACGCACTGCAGCAACACCTTCTGAGAAACTTCTCTCCGCACTGCGCTTGCGCTTACAACTCGCCTTCAAGCCACCACTGGCACCGACGGGCACACTGAGAGGCACGCCGGTCTCCCCAGCACCCTTCACAACACCCCTCTCCACATCCCTCTCCCTCTCTCTTTCCCTCTCCTCCTCCCTCTCTCCCTTCCCCTTCAACTTCCCCTTCTCCTTCCCTTCCGCACCTTTCACAGCACTCTCCTTCCTAATCCCCTCTTTAGAGTCACGATCCCTAAGATCCTCTAAGAGCACATCCTCTATAGTGTCCTGCTCTACTGCACTCCGCGCCCGGCCTGCCACAATACCCTTCTTCCGCCACCGCTTCCCCTCCACCTGCGGAGCTACAGTAGCACGAGCCAGTAACGAAGGCACTAACGAGTGTGACACTAGCGAATGTGGCACTACCCCATCCCGTTGCTGTTTCCCACCCAGAAAGCTTTCAGATTTGTCTTTTTTCTTCAACTCAACCATCCAGGCCTCCCCACCCTCCCCGCTCCTTACTGCCAGGTGATTCTCCCGCCCCTTGGCCCTTCCCTTCTCACTCTTCCGCTCCTCCTGCTTGCTCTTCTCCGCCTTCTCCGCACCCCACTCATCCTTGAGTCGTCCTCGAATGTTCTCTTTATCCTTGAATCTCTCAACCGCCTCGTACCGCTCATCACCCTCCAGCTTCTCGGCCACTCGCTCACGTTCTAGAACCGCCCGCCCCTTCTCCCGCTCGTCCCCCAACCCTCCCTCCTTGCCGCCTTCTCTCTTACTCCTCCCCAGGTCTCCCAGGTGTTCCCTGCCTCTCTCGATTGCCCTTCCCCACGCCATGCCCCCACTTGCATCCTTCCCTTCTTTTACCTTCGCTCGGCTCTCTGCCTCACGCTCTGCAGACCCAGCCTTCGCGCCTCTCTCCCGCTCCTTCTCCCACTCGCCGCTGCCCACCGCTTCTGCCTTCCCCTTGCTTTTCCCAGCGCCCCATTCAGCCATTCTCTCCGCCACCACTCCCCACTCCTCTGCAACGCTCCGTTCCCTCGATTTCTCCTTCTCTCGCTTCTTCTGCTTCTCCAGCTCACCCCCTTTCTCCCTCTGCTTCTGCATTAACACCTCGACCTCACTCATCCTCACTCCCTCTTTCTCTTTCTCCCATGCCCTCTTAATCTTCTCCCCCCCATACTCCTCCCCCAACCCATTCAGCCTCCTCTCCCTCTTCTCTCCTCTCTCCCTCACCAAACCCTTCACCTTCTCCCACCCGCTTCCCTTCACCTTCCCCTTGCCCTTTCCCTCCTTCCCCTCATCGCCTCCCTCGCCCTCCATTATCCCCGCTAGAGCTAGCTTTGGGAACCGCCGCGGGTGACAAACCAGCTGTGAACGCGGCTGCCGAGCCTCTTTCGAAGGCACGGGAATGACGGGAGACGTGTCTCCGCCATGAGTGAGGGACGGTCGGCCGCTGCCTCTGTGGTGGTTCACTGCTTTAGCGCCGCCACTCTCCTGACCCGCCTCACTCGCCCACGCCCCTCCACCACCCACGTCCGGACTCCCCTCCCTCTCCTTCTCCCTCTCCTTCTCCCTCTCCTTCTCCCTGTCCCAGTCTCCCCGTTCGCCAGGGGCGGAGCCGCCCCTGCCTTTGTCGCGGCTGCCCTTCCCGCCGCCCTCTTCCCACGCCCCCCACGACCCTCGCCTTCCACCCTGCGCACTTCGAGCCACGCTCACGCTCCTTCGTTGCTTCCTCTGCGCCTTCTGCTCTACACCTTCCTCCTCTTCCTCCTCCTCTTCCTCTTCCTCTTCCTCTTCCTCCTCCTCTTCCTCCTCCTCTTCCTCCTCCTCCCCTTCCCTGTCGCTGCTCCCGCTGCTGCCGTCGCGGCTGCTGGCGTTGCTGCTGCGCCTGGGGCTGCTCTCATCATCTGAACCGTCCATTTCTCCATCATCATCCTCATCTTCCTCCACCTCGTCCTCATCACGGTCACTCAAGCTATCGCCACTGCTGCTGCCACCATTCCCATCCCTCCCATTCCCATCCCTCCCATTCCCGTCCCTCCCATTCCCACTAACCTCCCTGTTGCCTCCTCTCCTGCCACCCCCCTTGCCATTGCCCGCCTTCCTCCCTCCCTTCCGCCCTCGGTCCTCCTCCTCTTCATCCTCACTAGCATCCCCCGCCCTCCCTCCTCTCCCTCCCCCTCCCCCTCCCCCTCCGCCTCCGCCGCCCTCTCTCCCCCCATCCCCAGCACCGCCAGTGCCTCCCCTGCACCGCCCCCCCCCCCTTTCCCACCCCATCCCCCACCCCCTCCCCCTCCCCCTCCGCCTGCTGCCCCTCCCCTCCCATTACTTCCCGCCTTCCCCCCTCCACAGCTTCCGCCACCCCCCCACCCCCCTGAACCACCTCCTCCTGACCCTCCTCCCCCTCCGCCCCCCCGCTTCCGCACACGCCCGTCCTCCGCGCCTCGACCGTTCAATCCTATCCCCCCACTCCCTCCAACTCCAGTCCCACTACCCTCTGGGGTCGCATCCGAAACCCTAATCGCCTGCCCATCCACCCGCACGCCAGCCTGCCCGTCCATCTGCCCGTTCGTCTGCCCGCGGTCCGCCCTAGCCTTCTCCCCACTCTCCTGTTCTGTCGCCCCTCTGCCTGCCTCAGTCTCAGAAAGAGCCAACATGGGACAGAGATCTTTCTTAGGGCTGACGTCACCTGCGCGGGGTAAGTGGGCTACGTCAAGGGGGGCGGGAGAAATGGGGCGGGGTTTGGTGCAAGAGGGGTCGACAGGCGGAGTGGCGGAGGGAGGAGCGGCAGGAGGGGTGGCGCAGGGCGGGAGGGGGCCCTCGGCAGATGATGAGGGACGGCAGGACGAGTCCGCGGCAGTGCCTGCAGCAGCACCACTGCCAGCAACAGCAGCGGAAGGAGGAGGGGGAGAAGGAAGAGGAGAAGGAACAGGAGAGAGAGGAGGAGCGCGAGAAGCTGCAGCAGCAGAAGCAGCAACAGGGGTGGGTCCAGCAATTGGAGTGTCATGTGGAGGAGCTTTACACCCATCAGCATCAGAAACAGCACCACGGACACTGTCAACACCAGCAGCACCAGCAACACCACCAGCAACAGCAACACCAGCAGCACCGGAACCCACACCTTGAACCTCACGGTCCTCCCTCACTTGGGCCCTATCCCCCTTCCCAGCAGCCTTCCCATCCCCATTGCCGCCCTCTCCTACCACCACCGCCCCATCTCTTCTTACTGCCACCTTCCCCCGTACCTCTGCTTTTCCCCCTGCCTCTCCTCTCCCCCTCGCCTCTCCCGCACCCCCCCGCCCTGTCTTCCCAGTCACCCCAAGAGCAATAGGCGCAGGACTTGCCACAGCACGCGCAGCAGGCGCAGGAGCAGGCGCAGCAGCGGGCGCAGCAGCGGGCGCAGCGGGGTGGCGGGGGTTGCGGGAGCGTTTGGGCGTGGGCGCGAGGACGGCGAGGATGCGCGGGGAGCTGTTGAACGCGCGGTGCAGCTGCCGCGCCAGCCTCTCATCGTCCGATGGGCAGCGCTGCTTTTGAGGCGCCTCAGAAGGGGAGCTGTTGAAGGCGCGGTGCAGCTTTTGCGGCACCTCAGAAGGGGAATTGTTGAATGCGCGGTGCAGCTGCCGCGCCAGCCTCTCATCGTCTGACGGGCAGCGCTGCCGCGGAGTGCCCGCGCCCGCTGCTGCCGAACTGCCTGGCGATGCAGCAGCAGCAGGGGTGGCAGCGGCAGCACGTGGGGCAGCAGCGGGGGCAGTGGCAGACGCAGCAACAGTCGTTGTGACACCAGGGGTAGCGATGGCAGTGGTAGTGGGAGCAGCGGCAGATGCAGCAGAAGCATCAGCAGGAGTGACACTGGAGGTAGCAACGGCAGTGGCAGTGCCAGCAGCAGTGGCGGCCGTGGCAGTGGTAAGAGGGGAGCTGTTGAGGGGTTGGGGCAGCTGCTGTGCTGGCTCCTCATCCCCGCACAGGCGACGAGCAGTGGGGGCAGCAGGGGCAGCGGCGGCAGTGGGGGCAGCGGCAGCAGTGGTGGCAGTGGCGGCAGTGGGGGCAGCAGCGGCAGTGGCGGCAGCGGAGGCAGCGGGGCTCGTCGCTGACCGAATGGTGCAAGGTGCAGCAACGGTACAGGCAGTGGCACCAGCAGCAGTGTTCGCAGGCATGGGAGTGGCGGGAAGGACGGGAGAAACAGCAGCACCTGCAGCTCTCGCAGCAGCAGTAGCTCCACCGTCAGATGCAGAAGCAACAGCAGCATCCTTATTAGACGCAGCAGCAGCAGCAGCAGCAGCCGCAGCAGCGCTTGCTGATTCTGTCCCCTCCTTGGCTCCACCAACCTCCTCCTCCTCTCCTACTGCAGTGCCTCCGCCCACACCTCTGCCCACACCCGCTGACGCACAGGCCACTCCCCCTGTGCGTCGACCCTCACCCACGAGGGCACGTTTGTCCCCTCCAACCGCCTGTCCGCCCTCATCCCCACAAGACTTGATCGCCTGTGCCTTCCCCTCACCACCTACCCCACTGGCATCAGCGACAATGACAGCACCATCACCACCACCACCACCACCACCACCATCACCACCACCATTCCTTCCTGCACATCTCTCAGCATCCGTCTCCCCACCCGTTGCTGCCGGCCCCTCGCCACACGCCTCATCGCCCTCCTGTCTCACTTCTCGCGCGCTCTTCCCCTCATCAAAGTCCCCAACCACGCCCGGGTCAGAACAGCATGCAGTGGCACGGTGGTTGGAAGCCGTCGCGGGGACGCTGGTTGTTGCATGATTGCTCGATGCATTCGCTGACGCAGCATTGCCGTCTGCGGCAGCAACACGGCCATCTGCGGACGGAAAACTGCTGTTAGCAGCAGCATTGCAGAAGGCCCCGTTGCAGGACATCAGCTGCCGCGTCTCCTCCCCACTACACGCTGCTGCTGACACGCAGGCCGCTTCCCCCTGCTCCCCCAAGTCGCCACACCCCTGCTGCCCTCGCGTCTCGCAACCCGCCTCGTCTGGAACCCTCGAATCTGTGCGGTCAGGTGAAGCTTGAGTCGACTCCACAGCCATGGCCGCGACTGCGAGCCCATCTGGTCGGTCACGCGGGCTGAATTTGCAACTGCACCCCTGGCTGCTGCCATTCCCAGCCTTCGAATGCCACTGCTTGCCATTGCCATGTTGAGCCTCACCCGGCTTGCAGTGCGCTGCACCACATGGCAACGACGGCAGTCGTGGCTGTTTGTACTCTTCACTCTCACGCGAAACAGGCGGCAGATGCAGCTCCTCCATCTCTACCGCTCCCTCCTTCTCTTCCTGCTCCTGCTCCTCTTGCTCGTCTTCCTTTTCCTCCTCTTCCTGCCGCCCCTTCCGTCTCTCTACCCTTCCTCTCTCTCCTGCAGCCTGCCCCGCGCCCTCTCTCCCATCACCACCACTCACTCCGCGCCTGTCACTGGCGTCTTTCCCCTGCGAAGAGCAGCCCAGGCCCATCATCAGGTCTACCGACACACACCGCCGTACCTCGCTGCTTTGCATCCCTGGCTCGTTCCCTCTCTCGTTCCCCGTCGTCTCATCACCTGCCGCCCCTCCCTCCCTTTCACGCCACGCCAACACTATTTCCTCCCCCCCACGCGTCGTCTCCTCTTCCTTGACTGCCAGAGCTAGGGCAGAATCAGCGAGGTCCGGTCTACTCAGATGGAGATCGAGAGTGTTATGGGAGTCCAGCCCTTTCTTTCCTGCAGACGGATTGAAAGCAAACGGAATCTCAGAGCCACCACTATTCCCACTCTCGCCTCTGCCCCTGAAACCCGTGGTAGTCTCACCGTCTCCCCGCTCTTCCCCTTCCTCGCCCTCCTCGGGCTTTGCACCTGCCATCACGGCTCTCCCGCCTGCTTCGCTATCCGCAGCTGTTGCTCCTGTACGCGTTACAAGCCGTTCACAGCGCGCCTCTAGCTCCGACAACGCCAGCCGCCACCTCGAAGAAAACCGCACTGCACCGCTCCCAGACACGACTGTACCATCCAGCTCCCCTTCCGCCACTAAATCGCCCGTCCTGACAGCATCAGCCCCCAGAAACCCATTTACACCTTTGACCGGACAGCTATGGCTCGTTTCCGCTCCTGCTGCTGCCGTCCCCGCTGTCGTCCCCGCTGCCGTCCCCGCTGCCGTCCCCGCTGCCGTTCCTGCTGCCGCTCGTTCTTGCACCTCCGCCTCAATCACCACCGCTACCGCCTCCTTCGCCTTCGCAGCTGCCCGTAAAGCTGCCCGCGCTTTCCTGACGGCGAATGCGCGTGCTTCTACGGCTGCCCGAGCGGCAGAGACGGCTCGGAGGCGGGCAGCAGTGGCAGAATCGTCAAGGGAGAGTTCACCCTCCGGCGTGATCGGGGAAAACGACAGAGGGCCTTCCAAAAGCGAGAAGGACGAAGTGGCGGGGGGAACCGGCGTGCTGGGGCGGGCGGGCTGGCTCTCCCCTGATAAGCCGTTGTGCTTATCAGCGCGAGGAGTGGTTACAGACAGCGGGGCAGGTGGCGATTCGCGCTCGGAATTGCGGTCTTGCGGGAAGGACAGGCTCAGCGATAGGTTCGGTTCCGAGCCTGTGCAGCACGGAGGTTCGGCCAGGCCTAGTAGTCGGCTCCCATTGGGCTTGCGAAACTTGGGTTCTCTGGTGGCTCGGGCCTTCTTGAACGGAGGGTAGAGAAAATTCCCGCAGTCCATCAGCGCGTGGCTGACCAGTGGTAACCCTATTCGCCTGGGAATGTCGTTATCGGCGAGTAACTGGTCTGATGGCGTGATTGATTTCGCTTTGAAGACCAGCTCGTGAACAGCTGCTGCCGCTGGAGAGTTTTCTGCTGCTGTGGGGTCAGGTAATAAGCTGCTGCGAAAGGGTATCCGCTCTGCTGCTGTCTCTGCGTCTCCAATCTGCACAAACGCACAGGAGCACGTAATGTTAGTCGCAAAAACGCGCGGGGAAAAAAAACAAAACAAAAACAAACTAAAAAACAACAACGTGTACAAAATATGAGCGCGCGTGACGGCATCCAGCGGAAAAAGGAAAAGACAAGAAGAGGCAAAAATTGAAAAGGTCTTCGCGTCTCACCGACTGCTGCTCAGCAACAGCTCCAGCAGCCTGGTAACCTCGAGCCTTCCCTTGGCTTGCTTTGGCCTTCAGATCTGAAACAGATAACGACAGACAACTCCCCCGCTCGCCCTTGGCACCTTCACCAGTCCCAATACCCGAATCCCCTGTCCCGGCGTCCTCTGCGGGTGATTGCCCGTCACATTGCTTCCGCTGCTGCTGCAATCGCTGCCCTCGCGGGAACGAGCTATCCCCGTCAGTCGCCTTTCGCTGCTCTGAATCACAACCGTTAACGTCAGAATGCGGCTTTGTAGTCTGCGATTCTCGTTCCTGATGCGCGACATGCGACTCCCTGTGCGACTGCCCGTGCGAATCCTTGTACGACTCCTGCGAAACTTTATCGTGCGACACCCTGTCATGAACATGCGGGCTACGACTGCGCGCGTTCTTCCGTCCGTCGTCGCTCTTCAACGCGTCTCCGATGCACACGTCTCTACCTCCGGCCTGCGCTAGCGCCTCGCCATGCTTCCTCTGCGAACGGTGCCGGTGGCGAGAAGGCGAGAGCAAACGGCTAGAGAATCCCAGACTTGACGGAACATCTTTCGCCGTCAAATCTTGACGGATGCTCGGGAGGCCCGAGGACTCTTCACCAGCGGTACTGGAGGCCGGAGGACGAACGCTACAGCGAAACGAGTCGGGTCCTTTTATCGAGTCGGGTTCTTTGAACGAATCAGGCCCTCTATCGGAAGAGCTCGTCTGGAATGTCAGGCGATTCGCTCGCTCGGCGGCACTGCGGCTACACGACAGAACCACTGGCTGTAACCCTAACGCCGTCGCCGCTGCTGCGAGATCCCCCGAATGCACTCCGTTATGCGTTCCGTTAGCCGTCCCGTTAACGCTACCGTTGCGGCTGCGACTGGAAAAAGCCGAGTCGCTCCGAGCGGCCGCTCCCGAGAAGGCCAGAGTCGCTCCGGACGCGTCAGAAACGGAAAACCATCCGTTCTGCTTCGGGCCGGCAAGCAGCCGCTTCTGCGGTAATATCGAGGCTCCCATGACGGCTCTGGACGAATGCAAAAACAGCCGGCCGCCGTCTGCCAGAACGTCCGATACCGACACGGGCCGCGAGCAAGGCACGCCGAGGGGAGGCGCCTGGAAACGACCTGACGAGATCTCCGCGGACCCCTCCCCGCGATGCAACTCCATCTCGCACACTGGAGACCCGAGGCCTCCCTTCAACTCCCTGATGCCTCCATGGAACCCTAGACAACCGAGAATAGCCTACGCCTGACGATACCATACACAGAAGTCGTAACTAAGGACCCACATTCAAAAGAAAAAGATAGAAGAGACGTCAGTCACGTTATGCGGCAAAGAAACTGAGGGAACCTAACCTAAAAGTCCATCTAGGGTTTCGTGGTCACAGCCATTGCGTAGAAACAGAAAACAAGCAGAGGGAAAGCCGAGCATCGATTTTTAGGTTTTCAAGAATTCAAACCACCTCCGCCTGCTGGTGCCTGAATCCAGCAACACAGACAGAGAAAACCTGACGTCCGTCAAGAACTTGACGGGGAAGTTACCGTTTATCGTCTGCGGTGTAGCTCAGTTAGGGTTTCATCCGAACGAGCAGACGGATGGTTCGGGTGGGCTTCGGCGCCCACATGGATCCGAGGTGGTGATCCACATGGCCTCTCGAGGTCCGTCACTTCCACCGAGGCACACCCACAGGCCTGGAAACCAATCACACGTGGTTTAATAATGTGGATTATTGCGAAGCACTGTACCACAACAATGTGAATACTAATTAAGAATACTAATGAAACGTGAATATTAATGCTTAAAATTATATGCTTTGACGGATTCCAAACCTCTTAAATCCCCCCGCTATTTTATTGTTTTCTTTTTTAACTACAGAATAAATCTCTTCTTATTTTTTTAATATTTGGTACGTTGTTATCCATACTGTTGAACTGCAGGACGTGCCAGAATAAGGTGTAGCAGACGGTAAAACTCCATTTCAAACTCCGTTTCAAACTGTTTGCCATAATCCAACTCACCACTGATACGCTGACAACACCTACACCACTCCGCCATGGCCTCCATTGCCGCATCTTGCGTCGCCCCCGTCATTCCCCGCGCAAGCGCACCGCGGGACACCGTCTCCGCGCGCCTACCCCGCCACGGACTCGCCTCCGCCTGCCCACTGCAGCTGCGGAGCGCCAGCTCGTGGTCGCGGAAGCCCGCGCCCGCCGTTTCCGCGCGGCCAGGAGTTGCTCGCGCGGTGGTGATTGAATCGCTTCCGCGGGAGTTCGGGCTGGTGGTGCTGACCGCTGCTGCTAGCGCTGTGCTGACGCAATGGCAGATGATCGAGGTACATTGCTTATATCATACTGAGCTATAGCGGGTATGCCGGCTGGTGGTGTTGACTGCTGCTTCTTGCGCCGTGCTGACGCGTTGGCAGATGATCGAGGTCGCGCGCTTATATCGGACTGACTTGTATCGAATATTTTGGCTGGTCATGTTGCGTGCATGTGAAAACGGACGTCATGAAACTAGCGTTCTCACGAAATCGATCTGCTCAAAGCGCGCAAGCGGACATCTGAGAAACGCACGCCCACACTGCACTACCCACACCACGCTAACCTACCGTACACTTCACTACACTACACCACACTACATCCCATGTGCACTTGCTCGGTTGGTTCCATCCACAGCTGGCTGGCTCTGTTGACTCCGTTGACTCTGTTGACCACTTGTGCCGTTCACCTCTGCTTGTCCTGTGCGTGCTGACGTGGCAGGTGGCAAAGCAACGGAGGGCCAGCAACGTCCCGTACCCCAAGGTGCGCACGGGAGGGCATAGGGGTGGTGTGGTGTTGCCTTCTAGAACGTGATGTGGGTGCAGTGGTTATTAGGTGGTTACCAGGAGGTCGTTACAATACCATCCAGTGCAACAGGGTGGGCACAGGAGGGCTCATGGCCTCCGGGAGTTGCGTTTGAGGATGTGAAGGTCGTATTCACCAGGCGGTTACAGGGTGGTTTCATTGCAGTTACACGGTGGTTACAGTGCGGTTACAAGGCGGTTGCAGGATGGTTTCAAGGTTGTTACTCTGTGGTTACATTGTGGTTCTACCTTGTTCCAGATGCACGATGCTAAGGGTGGCAGCTTCACCTGCTCCCACTGCTCTTGCGTGCTCACTTTCTTGACCCCATTCGCACCTCCGTTCACCGCTCTGCACCGCTCTGCATTTCTCTGCACCGCTCTGCGCCCCTGCGTGTGCAGATGTACGAGGACAAGGAGGACAGCCTGTTCAACTGCTATCAGCGCGCCCATCAGAACACCCTCGAGAGCTACCCCGCCTTCCTCTCGCTGCTCCTCATTGCTGGATACGCCTACCCCATCACTGCCTCCGCGTATGTTCGCACACACATTCTTGCTCCCCCACCCTTCCATTCCATCCATGCTCACTCCCCTGTCCTCCCTTCCTCGCGCTGCTCCTCATTGCCGGCTATACCTACCCCACCACCGCTTCCGCATGCGTTGCTCTTCTCTTCCCCTGCTTTGCCTCTCCTTCATCACGCCTTTCTCTCATCCTCACTGCCGGCTATGCCTACCCCTTCACTGCTTCCGCGTACCTTGCCTTCCTTGGTATTAACAATTGGTCCATTACATATCAGTAAATCTGGTACTTCCGGTTTGTTTGTATCTAGCCTTCCGTCCCCCTGCTGCTTGTTCCCAGACACGATCCCTGCCCCATTCTCTGCCCCCGCCGCCCTCCCTTCTGAAAATCCTTCTATCTTAAATTTTTCCTTCTTCCCATCCTCCCTGCCTCACCTTCCTCCCTCCTTTCCTTATTACCTCTCTGTCTTTCTCCCTTCTCCCCTCCATCTCCCCTGTTTGCGGATGTGGCGTGGTCTGGTATGGTGTGGCATGGTGTTGCATGGTGGGGCATGGTGTTGGATGGTGTGGCATGGTGTGGCATGGTGTGGCATGGTGTGGCATGGTGTGGCATGGTGTGGCATGGTGTGGCATGGTGTGGCATGGTGTGGCATGGTCTTGCATGGTGTGGCATGGTGTGGCATGGTGTGGCATGGTGTGGCATGGTGTGGCATGGTGTGGTGTGGTGTGCCTCTCTTCCAACACTCTCTCCCATCCATCCTCCATGCTGCGTGCAGGTGTGGAATGGTGTGGGTGATTGGCCGTGTCTTCTACTCACTCGGGTAACATCTCTTCCCTTACACTCACCCACACACGCTCTCTCTTCTCCCACTCTCCCTTCCACTCCATTTTTCCATACTCTCCCTTCACAACTCTCCATTTCCACACTCTTCCGTTCTTACTCTGGAACATTCTTCTCTTGAATGGTCACACATGCACTTTCCAATACCCTCTCCCATGCTGGCTCCCTTACACTCCCCCTCCCGGCCCCCCTGTACCCAACAACAACCAGAATTATCCATCCATGTCTTTTTCACTGCTATCCTTCTTCTATCCACTCCCAGAGTGTTTTTCTGCCATGCGCGCTCTCCCTTCCCACCCTCTGTCTCTCCCTTCCCACCCTCTGTCTCTCCCTTCCCACCCTCTGTCTCTCCCTTCCCACCCTCTGTCTCTCCCTTCCCACCCTCTGTCTCTCCCTTCCCACCCTCTGTCGCTCCCTACCTCCCTCCTGCGTAATGCGTCTGCGCCTTTCCACAAAACCGCACTTCCCCTTTCCCTCCCCTTCTCTTCCCAACGCCCCTTCCTTCGCACCTGTATGCTCTGTTTCACTGCTCTCCTTCCTCAGCCACCCCCTCCCCCCCTGCCTCTGCGCCAGAAACTACACAGGCAACTCTTGCAATTAAGTGCAGGGCATGGGGTGCATGTGGGGCATATGGGGCATGGGGTGCATATGGGGCATGGGTGCATGTGGGGCATGTGAGGGCATGTGAGGGCACGTGAGGGCATGTGGGGCACATATGGCTGTCTACTATCGCATCTCACACACTCGCTCTCACACGCGTGCTCCCTCTCCGCGTTTCCACCACCTCCTGTGCATTCCCTCCCCCTCACTTCCTCTCTCGCCCCCTCTCTCTCCCCCTCTCCTCGCCTGCCCACAACCCACGGAACCGGGTACAGGGCATGTGGGCAATGTTCGGCCTGCTTTGCATGTGCTCTCTTTCACACACATGCTTTCACTCCCTCCATTCTACCACTCCCCCCTGCCCCTGCTATTACACGGGCTACCCGCGCAACCGAGTGCATAGCATGTGGGGCACGTTCGGGCAGCCTCTGTCTCATGCGTGTACGCACGCCCCTGTGCTACCTTCCCTGCCCCGCCCCCCACTCCTCCCCTTCTCTCCCCCTCCCCCCCCCTCCCCCCTGCCCCAGCTATTACACGGGCAACCCGCGCAACAGGGTGCAGGGCATGTGGGGCACGTTCGGCCTGCTGGGTCTGCTTGTGACTGCCGGGGTCTTTGGGGTGCGCCAGCTGCTGTGAGCTGAGCTGGCAGCTGCTGTGAGCTGAGCTGGCAGCTGCTGTGAGCTGAGCTGGCAGCTGCTGTGAGCTGAGCTGGCAGCTGCTGTGAGCTGACCTGGCAGCTGCTGTGAGCTGACCTGGCAGCTGCTGTGAGCTGAGCTGGCAGCTGCTGTGCGCTGAGCTGGCAGCAACAGGCTGTGAGCTGGCACAATGAAGAGGTTGTGGGGTGGCCATGCTGTGCTTATTCCATCTGCAGTTCGCAACATGGATGCCGTCAACGCCAAGTGAAGGGGAGGCGATGTCTTGCTTGATGGAGATGATTCGTTATCGTACAAGTATTTTTCTGCGACTTTTCTTTTAATAAGATGGAAAGCTGCAACGAGATGCGTCCGTCAGCAATACTGCTCTGGTTGTCAAATTGAACGGTGGTGGTGGTGCATGTCTAAACCAGCGCTTCAATCAATCAACGGGAATTTGGTACGGTAAGGGTACCTTTGAAACCTGGAAGTTGGTCTTTGTGTGACAGAAGGGCTAGTATGGTACTATGGGTTTAGAACATTAATTAAGGTCATATATTAAGAACATTAATTAAGGTCATATAACATAATATGGGAGGGGTCTAGCCCTAGAATACAGGAGAGCTACATAGCCCTGTAACATACAGAGAAGCAGGCCTGCCCCAGGAATTTGAAAAAGGAACGGCTGGTTCTGTAACTAAACACACACCGTAATGGCCTAGCCCTAGGATATAGATAAACTGCTAGTCCTGTTCAGTAACAAGATAGCCAAAATGCCTGGCCTAAAACACACCCGTAAAAGGGGGCCAGCCCTAGAAATCCAGACACCTACTTCTGTATCAAGAGCAGCAGCAGAGCCATGACACAGAATGTCAGAACTAAATGCACCACACCCTGTCTTATCCTTCCACCAGCTTTACCAGGCGGCGCTGCTGATGAGGGCAGGACCAAGCCTGATGGGTCCGACCCTCCAGATGACACCTGCGTGTACGACTCGCACTCCGTGGGCGCGACCTTGCGCCCAACGAAAGCGCCGTAAGTCGCGTTGTCCTTGAAAGGGCACCCAGGGATGTTGTTGAGTGGATCGCAGCAGGCAGGCACTGGTGGGTACTGCTTTGCCCCGCTGTAACACCCGGCTGTGCCCTGAAAGAGGTGGAAAGAATGAAAGAACCAGGGACGAAAGAAGAGAAGCATAAAGTCAGAATGTGGCTTATGATCTTAGATACTGCCTGACTCAATGGCCCTCTTCTCACTCTCCTGACATTCTCTCCGTATCCTTATCCACTGGTAGATCTCATGCTTACCGAAGCCACGTTCACAGTGATGTTTCGCCCACCCAACGCCCTGAAAAGTGACCCGAAGAGCACTTTGAAGAACACCTCCTTGCTGGTGAGTAGGTTGCCGAATGTGGTTCCTGTTGCCACTGTTGGCGTCACATGCAAAAGTAAAAGGAAAAACCGATGAGGCAGGAATTCTGCAATATGAAACGTTTGTGAGTCAACATACTGAAACGTTTTAAGAATTATGAAAGCATCCAAAGGAGAATTGGCATATGGCAAACAAAGTTAACTTACTCGGTAGGCCTTTGCATTCCGAGTAGACGTAAGATGCATAACCATCGCATACAGAGAAGGTTCCGGACCAATCCGAATCAGCAACAACGTAATTGCCACTATCTGCATGGAGAAAGGCAGTAGAGACGCCAACGGTTATTCGTACGATCTGGAATATTCTGTTTTATTACGCACACGTTCTCGATTTGAGGTCCGTAAGAAGTGCAACATCGCCGCACGACACTGTACGGTTTTGCATGATGTTAGCAAAAAATACCGAGTTGGTTCCAGCCAACGTGCCTCGAATGTGCTCAGGACCACGAAAACGTCACTCAGGAAAATGAGATGGGAAACGCACCGGGGTTGCACATGACGGCGCAGTTCATCGCCTCGAGTTCCTGGCTGCACTGATCGAACCCCACAAACCGCGCGCATTGCTGTGTCGGCCGGGTGGAGGCAGGCGGGTGAATGGGGAGGGAAGGGAAGCGGAAAGAAGGCGGAAGGGGAAAGATGAAAATGGTCTTGCAAATACATCATGTTTGGCTCACCTTTTTGGATAGGACTTTCCACAAACACGCAAGCTGAGTCCCGTCCTCAATTGGATGCATATCTCACCTCATTGCAAATACTATTGATGCATCGCGCGAAACTTCTTTTTCGCACAGAAATATCGAGAGCAGCGCTGAACTCACTCGAACTGCCGCTCCCCGCGCGGTTTTAAGAACCGACGGAAGGAGAAATTCGAGCACGGTCGACTCATCGGCGCTAACGGCTTTGAGCGCCGCGAGCATGTCCATACAGTCGTCGCAGCACGACCATTCCGCCGCGTCCTTGCATCGCGAAAACGTCACGTTCGCTCGCGCTGGCGGGCGTTGGTTGAACGGACAGAGCGGATAGTCTGAGGCCTGCAGCACAGGCGATATCGAGGTGTCAAGCTTGGCGGGAGCGTCGGAGCCAGTCGCGTAGGTGCCGGAATTAGTAGTAGTTGTTGGCTGTGCGACGCGAATTGGCTGTGCTGCTCGGGCGAAGAGGAGCACGAGGAGAATTGTGTACAGGCGAGACATGATTGCAAGCAGCGCTGGATTGATTGCGTTTGTCAATGACGCGAGGCTGAGCGTGCGTTAGGGACTTGTCAAGAAGGCGATGTTTAGCACGAGAGTGATCGAAATTTGGACAATGAAGTTGTGAGCATCAACAGCAGCGTTCACATCTTGTTCACCACCAGTCACCAACCATACTTCCAAGATTCTCCAATTTGGGCGCGGTGCGGGTGACGGAACACGATGAAAACCGTGCATTTTCGACCCACCAATCAATTGACCCGGTAACCCGAGAAGGGATAAAGTAGCCAGCCAACCTGCAATGTGGAGCTTAGCGCGCCGCCGTCTCGTGATCAAAGCCCCCAACTCTAGCCGCAAAATAATACTGTAGCGAATACGGCAAATTCCGCGAGACTGACGAGGCTTTGACGAAAAGCAGTTGAATTTCGTGAATGACAATGGAGCACTCGCGTGACCGAGCAGCTTGCAGCAGCAGGTTTTTTCCATATCTAATACAGAAATGTGTGTCCTATTGGTTCGTTAGGCAACCCTTCTTCGGCGTATTCAATCACCGAACCTGGTTCAGTCGGATAGAGTTTACCAATACTAGGACAAGCTGAGGACGCGTCACAAGTAAACATCGATCCTGCCTAGAATCGGTGTTTAGGTGGTTACACATTTTCGTTTATTTTCGCTAACGTACAGTTTTCCCTTCTAAGTCAGGCGATCGATGTGCCCCTGTCACACATCGATCGTGCAATTTCGTCCACATCGGGCAATTTTGCCCCATGTTTTTACGATCGTGTCACTTGAAACTTCAAAGCAGTCGTGACACACCGATATGGCGATCGGTTTGACAGGTTCGGTGAACAACCCTGATCCTTCCTCGATATTTTACTTGTGACGTATCCTGATATAAATCTGAAGCGATCCCGATGTCAGGGAGGTTGGCTGAGTCAAGACCCTGATTTTAAGTGTAATAAAGGTAAATACTCCTGAAAATGAGGCCCAGCTCCCAACCCACACCGACGCAACCCCTCCCTTGATTTCTCTGCCATTCCCATTCCATCCCAACCATGATCTCCTCCCCCCATCACCACGCTTCTTGGGCGAAATCGCGCACATCGGCGGAAATCGTGTCTGTCTCAAAAGAATCGACCCAAATTGCTCCCCGCTCGCCACGTGGGCGTTTTTCTCAATTGATTCGACCCCCTTTTCCCCCGTCCCCCCACCCCGTTTTTCCCGCCCTTGCCCTCCGAAATTCGGGCACCCGCTGAAATTTCGTGAAATCACAAAAAGTCACGAATACATGCTTTTTCGTAACGCTAAGATTTCAACATGCGAGCGACATCTGATTGGACAGAACACCTATGTCCCCCCCCCCCCCCCCCCCCCCCCCCCCCCCCCCCTCCTTTACCAATGAATTTTAATGATAACTTTAGCAGTAATATGGATTTTATGAATTATGTGCCACTGCAGTAACATAGTTTTTCGAATCTCTGTAATATGAGTGATTTTTTCTAAATAATATCAAGCAGTAAAATCAAACAAAATATCTACCTAGTTCAAAAATAGTTTATTTTGATTTTCCCTTGATTAATTATTATCAATAATTTATGAAATTGAACTACTAGTTTGTTATGTTTTCTGGAATAAGCTTTATGTAGATACATAAAACCATAAAAAACTCTAGGTTATTTGTCATGTATTTTCTTGCACCCCTATTTACATTAATGGCATGGGCTAATCCAAAAAAAATGATACAATCAACGTGCATATAAGCCTTCTGAGATTGAGAAGCAACTGTCGATATTATCAATTGCGAAAGCTGATGTGGCATGCCACAACTACATGGTGGATTTGGCATGATGTAGGGAGAACGTATTCGTGACTGTTTGTGATTCTACGAAATTTTATCAGGTGCCCGAATTTCGGGTTGGAAGGGCGGGAAAAACGGATTGGGGGAGCGGGGGGAAAGATGGTCAATTCAATTGGAAAAAACGCCCACGTGGCGAAGTGTGAGCAATTTGGGTCGATTCTTTTGAGACAAACGCGATTTCTGCCGACGCGCGCGATTTCGCCTCCAGAAATCAGGTGGAACCCGGCGGAACTCAGTACAGCACAATGTAGGCACGGGGAGAACTCGGCTTGGGTTTGGGGAGGACTTGGCTTGGCAGGCATGCGGAAGTGACGGCACGGCACGGTCCACCTCCGTGAGTCAGCAGCACTGGGGGGTGTACAGTACCGTGCAATCTCAGCTGGGGGTGCTGTGCAATGGGGGATGGCCCGGGTTCGTTCAATCTCAGCTGGGGGTGGGGTGGGGATGATGCTGAAGAAGCGTTGGTTGGCAGGGGTGTGCCGCGCTCACACAACCCTGCAAGGAATGGGGGAAGCAGAACAATTGTTGGCTGATGCCGCTTCGATTCTTTTTTTGCAAGATGGAAAGCCACTTGAACAATTGCTTGGAGGAAGAAAAAGGACACGAGGGGAGACGGCTGCGCAGGTTATTGTCGCCACCATAAAACAGCATGTCAGCGATGCAGGCGATTGGCTCATTTCGCCGTCTCATAAAACCCCCCTCGGCATGAAGGTGTACACCTATCCTGCGATAATTCCACACCCCCTATCTTCACGCCCTGGGGTACCTACCCTCGAAAAAGTCTCATTTCGAAGGTAGTTAGAAACGATCGCGGGAGTTTCGAGGGTAATAAGACACGACCTCAATGAGAGTTTAACACTCTATCTTTAAGGCACTGAGAATTTTGCCCGCTCACTCTGGGCAGTACGGCTGGCTGGCTGGGCAGACGTCATCAACGGCAGAAGCAGCAGAAGCAGCAGAATCAGAAGAATTAGCAGCAGCGTTAGCAGCAGCAGATGCAGAAGAAGGAACAACACTACCATCAACAGCAGCAGCTGCAGCTGCAGCAGAAGAAGCAGAAACAGAATGGGGGGAAGAAGCAGCAGACGAAGCAGAAAGAGAATGGGGAGAAGAAGCAGAAACACGGGTTGGGGGGGCGGGTGGAAAGGGGGTCGATTCAATTAGAAAAAACGCCCACGTGGCGAAGTGTGAGCAATTTGGGTCGATTCTTTTGAGACAAACGCGATTTCCGCCGATGCGCGCGATTTCGCCCTGATGTTTTCTGTGATTGGCGACACGAGTAACACGCATGCGATTAGGACACCCTTTCCGCTCGGCTCCTGAGAGTCACTCCTGTCCCCGCGCGTACCACTTCAATCGTCCGCTGCGGGCCGTTATTGCTTTTGCCGGCCTTCCACTGACTGATTGCTCCTCTCTTGAGCCACCCATCACGAAACACCATAGAAGGACTGTTGTACTAGTCCTGACTCGCACCAGCAACAAGCATTTGTTTCCTTGTTCCTTCGAAATAATACGTTTCGGCCACTCTATCTCGCGCCGCGATGCCGTTTCTGAAGTGGACCCGACCCCGTCGCGCTGCTGGAAGCTACGCGGACCGCGACTCGCTCGACGACACTCTACCCAATGTGATTATATCAGTGCCGGTTCCAACCCCCTCGGGACTGCATCCAGCGCGGCTCGCAACGTTCCCCGTCAGACCGTATCGCGCTGCTCCCGCTGCAAGCCGCGTCCACCCTGCCGACCACTGCGATGGTGCCAGGAAGCTTCGGGGCGTCGTTGCAGAACGAACCTGCCCGTGTTCGAATCGGCGACCGTCATCTGCGGAAGAGAACGAATCTGCGGGGGAGAACGAATCTGTGCGAACTTTCGCTAAAAATCACAACAGAGTGGCGATGACGGGCGGCTCTGAACTTTCGCCGCTGGATGGCGTGTCGAACGCACGAAATGCGCACGATGCCCGAGACTTTGGTGGCGAGTGCCACTCGCAGTGCCTGAAACGGGGGCCTGGAGAGTTGGCGAAGGAGTGCACGGTTTGCCTGAGTGACTTTAACGAAATGGAGCTGGTTCGCTCTCTGCCCTGCACGCATCGATTCCACGTCAGCTGCATCGACCACTGGCTCGCCGACAGGACCACGTGCCCCGTGTGTCGGGTAGATCTTTCTACCGCGGCTGCACCGGATGTGACTGTAAACAGCGTTGCGTCGGAGATGCACCTGAAGGACGGGAATAATTCTGGCTCGCGGTCAGGACCAGTGTCCGTGTGTGCGTAATTTGCGGCGCCACCGGTTCACGATGTGACTAAAGCATGCGTCACCTTAACTAAGGTTCAGATTGGGTGCGACTCGCGCGCAGCGAGATCTGCCCTTGGAGGAACCCTAAGTGTGACTGAAGGTGGCGTGACGGTAGAAAATGGTGAAGACCAAACAAGCTCGTCCAGTCTCGAGACAACCACCCCTACGTCACTGTATAGGGGTTGAGAGTAAACAAGGGAAGTAAGGGATGGATTTCCAAGCAAAACCCTCGTTCAGCCGCCACCCGCCCAAACTTTCTTCCTGCCCCGCATTCCGCCTCGCTTCTCGGTTGAGCCCGGTTCGGTGGCTTAGGGGTTTCCGTTTTCCATTTCGCTAGAGCAACTGCCTAAGATCGGTTGCTCTCGGAATGTAGATTCATGTGCTATGTATGTACTATGACTAAATAAAGTGATCTGCTTTTGCTTGCTTCTGCTCTTGCAAGTTGCAACACCCTTCCTGATCTTATCATTACTCTTACTATCTTCAGAATTATTCTGTTCACATGCAGTAATATGCCAAAGCTTGGGCCCAAATGTAATACACGAACACCCTTCCATTTACAAACAGGCTATGCATCCCAATAAGCACATTTTTCCACTGCTGCCAAGCTTTAGAGATTCAAGATTACTGCTCCGAGTACCGAACCCATCTAAACTACTCCATAGCTCAGCCTCATTGCTCTCCCTTTTGACCAGCCCACACAGCTACTGCGGCCTCTCTACAATCCGAGCCACCACCACATCACTCCTGTTCGCTGTGTCGTCCAGACCAACAGTCCTGGAACGGCAGCTACAGGTCTCCGCGCAGATATCAGCAGATCAGGCACGGCAGTGCTGCCGTTCAGATCACCAACAGTGGAGGAACACCGGCTACACCTTCCAAAGCACAGTTCTGCACCTGTGAACCAGAGTCCTATACCTTCCGAACGACGACCACAGGGCAAGCAGCATGGTGCACGCAGTAGTCGCTCACACTGCCCAGGAACGCCCTGGTAGGGGGAGGAGAGGGGGGCAGAGGAGGGGGGGGGAGGGAGGGGGAGAGGGAGGGGGAGAAGGAGGGGGAGAGGGAGGATATGGCATGCAGCATGGTGCACGCAGTAGTCGCTCACACTGCCCGGGAACGCCCTGGTAGGGGGAGGAGTGGATCGGGAGGGGTAAGAGAGGTTGTGGCATGGCATGGTGCACACACGACAGAGTCCCTCACATGCCGGGGAAGGCCTGCCATGGGACGGATTGTGCAGGAGAGCATTGAAATTGAGTTGACTTTTGAGTTGGCTCAAAAGTCAGCTGGGACGGTGTGCAGGAGAGCATTAAAAATGAGTTGACTTTGAGTCAACTCAAAAAGTCAGCTGGGACGGATGGTGCAGAAGATCATTAGAATTGAGTTGACTTTTGAGTCAACTCAAAAGTCAGCTGGGACGGACTGTGCAGGAGAGCAATAGAATTGAGCTGCATGCAGCATGGAGCACACGAGTGCCGCGTCACGTGGAGCAGCAGTTGCTCATGCTCCTTATAAACTCACGGATGTCTTGAAACACATTATTTACAAGAGTTAAAAAGTCTCACGAATGGCTTTTGAGACCTTGCAACCTTACGGTCAAACATCGCTTTGCTTCATTTCACTACGTTCTAGGATGTTTCACCAGGTGTGCCAATCGACACGTACCTCCTGATGGTGCCATGGCCGTGGACGGACGTTGTCAACAGCCACAAATGCTTGAAGTCCCCTCACCACTCACATTTCACAGGTGACAACCGCCCCTTTAAGATGCACCTCTTGAGGCATCTCAGAAGATTTCACAGGTGCCGATTGCCCCGTCAAGATGAACCCCTTGATAGTGCCGTAGCCATGGCTGCCCATCACCAGCAGCTGCTGCTTTTCACGCCCAGCAGCTGGCAACCGTTACATGTGCTGAGACCCACTTACTCACACGCACCTCTTGACGGTGCTGTAGCCATGGCTGCCCATAACCAGCAGCTGCACGCCCAGCTGCTTGCAAAATCCCTTTTGAGAATTCTCCACAGCGATTTCAATTCTGCTGGCGACATCAAAAGCATCCTCCTTTCAGCAATACTGTGCCTGTCACCTTTCCAGCCACACGCACCTCTTGACGGTGCCGTAGCCATGGCTGCCAATCACCAGCAGCTGCACGCCCAGCTGCTCCACGGCATCACAGATGGATTCCCTGGGTTCGCCTTCTATCACGTCCGCCTCTGCTGATACCTGGTGGGGTGGGGAGGGATGGGGAAGCATGGCGGAGTATGGGGAGGTATTGGGAGACATTGCATGCAAGCACTCTCCATCCAGCTGCTCCACGGCATCACAGATGGACTCCCTGGGCTCGCCCTCTATCACGTCCGCCTCTGCTGATACCTGATGGGGTGGGCAGGCATTGAGAGGGATGGACAGCGATGGGGGGACATGGAAGTTCTGAATGCAAGCTCTCCCTGCCCAGCTGCTCCACGGCAGCACAGATGGACTCCCTGGGTTCGCCCTCGATCCACTGATACCTGTGATTACATGCAGAGGCAGACATAGGGACGGAGAGGCATGGGAGGCATGCTTGGGAATGCATGAAAGCAAGCAAGAATGCACTGCGATGCACCCCCTTCCCAGTTGCTCCACGGCATCACAAATGGACTTCCCAGTTCCCTGGGCTCGCCTGTTAGGTTTGGTTTGAACAGGGGATAGGCATGGGAGACGTTTGGAGAGGAATGGGAAGGCATGCACAGGGATGGGAAGGCATGGAGAGGGATGGGAATGGATGGAGAGGCACGGGGAGGCATGAGTGCTGCACTCCCCTCCCCGCAGCGGCATCACAACATCACAGTTAGGAGCCATAAATGCAGCAGCACCATCTCCCTCAATCACATCCCCCTCTGCAGCCTCCTGTTTTGTCGAACAGGGGAGCAGGATTGATACCTGCGTGTGATCACACTGTGCCACGTGGCATGACACGGCGGCCCACATGGGTGCACGCATGATTGCATACATCCCTCCTCTGCGGTCTGATCTTCTTCCATCTCCACACCTTACACCTTTCTCTGCTCTGTTATTTGTTTGTTTGTTTGTTTGTTTGTTTTTTTTTTTTGGTTACTTTTTTGTCCGCCAGTTTCCCTTCTTCCCCCCCCTTCCAGCCCCTCCCCGCTCCCCCTTCCCCCAACCCCCCCCTCTTCCCCCCTCCCCCCCTTTTTCCCCCCTCCCCTTACCCCCCCCCCCCCCTTCGCACCTTGAACTGCTCGCACATGGCCTTGGCAGCGCGCAGCACCTGCCTAGTCACCGCCTCCTCCTGTTTCTGCCATAGCCTCACTTTGCTCCTATCCCCACCCCACCTCTCATCCTCTCCCCACCTCTCATCGTCTCCCCGCCCCTCCCTTGCACCTTGAACTGCTCGCACATGGCCTTGGCAGCGCGCAGCACCTGCCGGCTCACCGCCTCATCCTGCTCCCGCGCTGGTCACGGTTCACTCCTATCCCTACACCTCGTCTCATCCCACCCAACCCCTCACATGCAACAGTAATATCCGCACCTTGAACTGCTCGCACATGGCCTTGGCAGCGCGCAGCACCTGCCGGCTCACCGCCTCCTCTTGCTTCTGCCATGGTCACGGTTTGCTCCTTTCCCCACCCCACCTCTCACCCTCTCCCCAACCTTCAACCTCTCCCCACCTCTCATCGTGCCCTCTCCCCCCTCGCACCTTGAACTGCTCGCACATGGCCTTGGCAGCGCGCAGCACCTGCCGGCTCACCGCCTCCTCCTGCTCCCGCGCTGGTCACGGTTCACTCCTATCCCCACACCCCGGTCCTACCCCCCCCCCCCCCTCTCCCTCGCACCTTGAACTGCTCGCACATGGCCTTGGCAGCGCGCAGCACCTGCCGGCTCACCGCCTCCTCCTGTTTCTTCATTGTCTCCACCACCTCTGGAGGCACGTAGAACCCTGCACCAGCAGCACCGAACCGGGCTGGGGGGGGATTGGTGAGGGACATGCAACTAGCGGCAAGAGACTGAATAGAAACTGCCAGCCTCCTCCTGCTTCTTCCCTGTTTCCACCACCTCTGGCGGCACGTAGAACCCTGCACCAGCAGCACCGAACCGGGCTGGGGGGAGATTGGTGAGTTGCCTTCAACCACACAAGTGGGTTGGCTTGCATACCATAGACTGCCAGCCTCCTGCTTCTTTGTCTCCACCACCTCCGGTGGAACATAGAACCCTGCACCAGCAGCACCGAACCGGGCTGGGGGGAGATTAGTGAGGGAAGGGACTAGCCAGTAGAGGGAAAAGACCGCCAGCCTCCTCCTGCTTCTTCATGGTTTCCATTCCACCACCTCTGGCGATTCGTAGAACCCTGCACCAGAGGACCCAAACAAGGCTGGGTGGAAATTGGTGAGTTGCCTTCAAAGACAACACGGGGCTTGCGTTGCATGGAGAAGAGATGGACTAGAGGCTGGCAGGCTCCTCCTGCTGCTTCTTCATCGCCCCACCACCTCTGGCGGCACATAAAATCATGTAGCAGAGCCCAACCGGGCTGGTTGGGAATTGGTGTGTTGCCTTCAAAATAAAACAAGGTGTGCGCAACGGCGGGACACTGACAGCCTCCTCCTGCGTCTCAACCGTCTGCATCACCGGGATGAGGAGAAGACTTGGCGGTGGGTTCAGATGAAGGGAGACGGGTAGACCCCTGCATCGGAATTGAACTCGGCTGGGGGGGAGTTGGTGAGTTGCTTTCAAATAAGACACGATTAGAGCACCTGAAAACGTCGTAACAGCTACCCGCTCTATCCCGTGCTGTATGTTAAGCGAAATCTGATCCCCCTCCTCCAATCCGGGAGCTTACCTGGTCCCGCGGGTCCCGCGTAGACTTTCGGGTACGGCTGTGCGTGTAGCAGGTGAACCTTGTCCTCCGCTTGAATCACATTCTCGAGAGCCCACTTTAACGCGTAAGTGCTCTCATCGCTCGGGTCCACCGCGACAAGAATCTTCCGTGATTTCTTCAGCGGCGCGGTCTCGTCGCCGGTCGCCCCAACGGTCACCTCGTCCGGCTTAGCGGCAGCAGCGTCGGTCGACATGATTGTCCTCGCTACACGCTCGCGCTCGCTATTGTCTACGTAAGAGATAACGGATACTTTGAAAGCGGTGAGAAGATCGAGGCGTTCGAGAGAAGGTGTTGCGAGTTAGGAGGCCTTACTAATTACTAGGTGGCTAAATTTGAAACATCAGACTCAGTACTAGGCTGACACAATTTCCCGCGTCGCAATGGCGTCAAAGAACAAACTGTCTAGAAAAAAATGCGGAATCAAGCAGGAAAATCTCAGAAATCAAGCAGAGGTAAGCTCGTCTGATGGTGTCCAGTCGTAGAAGCTAAGAATGGCCAAGAAAAGACGATGCCAGAGAATAACTCCAAGGTTGTGTGCTCACTTGCTGTGTTGGAGCCTGGAATCCAATTTCTGACAACCACGTGAGAGAAATGTTTCTCTAGAATCTGCCTAATGCCTGTCCTTGAAACCTTTCCCGACCGTTTTCACTAAATAACAAGCCGTGGAATAAAAGTTCTGAACCGCACAATACAGTCTTCCCGTTTGGCACACCCAACGATACTTGCTGGCTGTTCATGTCATGTTGTCAGCACAACGCAGCGCATGCACAGCTCACACTGACGCTTATCCAGCGCATTTGCTTATGTAAGCGCGATACTTATCAATGAGGTTGACGCAAATGCAATATGCGAATCTGGTTACTGGCTAGCTCGAAAGCGCCGAGACTTTTGGTGAAAGTTGAACACGTGGCAACTTATGACTCGAACATCCTTGGTTCCACCGAGGCAAGACATGGAGCTCACGTGGAGTGGACCGTTAGGGTGTAGTGTAGCATGAAAAAGGGAGTTTCGTGACCGTTATAACGACGCCCCTAAGACTTCACATGATTGCAGCTGGTAAACAAATCCATTATCTGAATCATTATCTATCATTATCTTCTCAACTGAGGATTCTTCCACATCATTGCGAATTTGCTGGCTTTCTCAATGTTGCTCCGCGCCTTTCATCCGCCATGGATTCTGACGACTTCGGACCGCACAATGTCCTCGATAGAGGTCCTCGATCCACTTTATTTCTACACCATTAGGTTCGTCAGTAACTCAGCTGTCGGGAGACCTGTTATTTATGCTGACATTGGCTCGCCGTGTTACAAGGCAACCTTTCATGAAGTTGATCAGGCTACCTCGGGATCGCCTTTGCTCGGTCTATTATCCAGGCTGTACAATAACATCTACACCCTCATTATTATCAAGGCTATTACAAGCTATGATCCCGAGGCATTTACCTCGGTTTCTCACCACCAACTTCAGGAGCGCTTCGTCCCAGCAGGAAGTTCATTATTATTTAAACTTCTCGTGCTCAGTCTCCTGGCATACTACTTCATGTTTCTCAGTCCGGGCTCTCAACACAGCCTCGCTCTGCCTATTTTACATCATCGCACGATGGCTCCTGCTAAGGGTCCTCGCTCCAAGGTCGTCGTTGACCCTCCGGTTGCCCCTGGTGACCCTCCAGCTCCCCCCGTGGTTGACGCTGACAAACCTGTCAAGGATCAAGTGACGGAAGGCGGGAATGACAACAATGACAACGTGATCCCGTTATCCCCCAAAAGGAATGCGGAGGCTGGCGGATCAGGCCTGTCAACGGCGGAGCGGCAAACGGTGCAAGCTCATGGCTCTGTTGAGGAGATCCTCCTTGAAGACGATTCTGATGATGACATGGAAGTGGATCATGACAAGGAAGCGGCAATGAACTTCAGGACCACAGTCATTCTGCTACTTCCCTTTGTGCTTGCTCAAGAGGTTGTCTGTGTTATGGATACGGTTAAGATGCTGATGAAGCGTGGGTGGAATGCAGAACTCTCGCCTCATGCCTGGTCGACCACGAAGTTCCAAGAGCTGCAGGCGCTGTACATCGCAAAGATCCGATACTGCCGTCTGCAGCTCTCATTCCTCCTGGAGCGGGATGCGGAAATCTGCACATCCAAAGAAGTGGTGTATCAGCGGTTGAACGGGATACTGGTGAAGCTGCACTGGCAGCATACTAACAACGCTGCTTATGTGCGGGAGCGTTCGCTTAATCCTACGGCTCTGAAGGTCATCATCCGCGGTGTTTCAGCGACGGTTGAGATCGCCATGCTAACGGACCGGCTCGCGACTTACAAGCTGCAGAAGAGTCAGCGGCCGGCTTTCCTTCGCTGCTCAGCCTTCCATCGCGTTCTCCACCCGGTGACTGGTGCGGACACGGATGTCGTCAAGGGTCTTGTTTATCCGCACCCGGGTGACAATGGCCGCTGGATTCACGCTGTGCTCGACCCGGCTGACCGTTCGAAGAAGCTGCTGATCCATTACCCATCATTGTCCTGCACACTCTGCGGAGGACAGCATTATGATAAGTATCATAATCTGTTCGTAGTAGAGCGTCAGAACAATGTTGGGAAATGGAATCTGACGCTGGGGAAGGTTCACAGGCTTAACGGTAACAGTGCTGTTGACTCACCTTTTCTTCATGACTGCCTTCTTTTTTCCTTGATCCTTACTAGCGATCCGGTTGAATCCTGCAGCTGCGTCCCTGAAAGCCTCAACGATCCTTCTCCCCATTCTTCGCGATCTTGCACTGGCACTTATCTCCACGGGGAGCAACAGGGAGGAATGGTTGTGCACCTAGGCGGGGTGCAAGAAGGCTCACGGCAAGTGTTTCATGACGGCTTCAGATCATATCGCATCGGCGGCTCACCTCATCTGTCAGGAGAAGCTCGGCACCGCGACCAAGAGTTCTCTCGAAAGGACGAACCTTGCAGTCATCAAGAAAGACTTCGGGATTTGAATGATAGACTGGAGACAGCGGCCAGAATATGCACAGTAGTCAGTGTGGTTAGTCTCATTGCCTTTATCAGCCTGTGGATGACGAGAGGCTGCCAGTCAGTGGTAAAATGAGTAACAAGAAAAACCTCCTCACCTGCGCGTGCCTTAATGTCAACGGCCTTGGAGACTTAGGGAAACAAGGCGGACTCACCAGATGGCTTAAGGACGCGGGAGATGTAGTAGCTTTAGCAGATACCAGAATTCCACCCTCGCACACTTTCTGGACCTCACCTAGTTTCACCACAGTAGCGGTAGCTCCCCGCAGAGCGAAGGCTGGTGGTGTTGCCATCCTCTGCAAGAATCCTTCCATTAGCTTCACAGACACAAAAATCCACCCCCCAGGTAGAATCATTCAAACGGTAGTTATCGGTCCCGGTATCCAACTCACCCTACTCGCAGTATACTTCCCCTCGAGCCCTTCAGTTAGTGCTTCCTTCATCCAGTGCGCCTTAGGACCACTGATTGACCAGATATCACCGTCATCGCATCTGTTGATCATAGGGGATCTCAACATTATAGAAGACCCAATCCTAGATAGAACATCTGGCAATGGTACGACAGCTGAGAATGACAAACTCTACAGTCGCTGCAGCGCTTTCCAGCTCTCCGATGCCTTCCGCACCTTATATCCGGGGAGCAGGGAGTACACTTTTTACGCAGCAGCTGCGCAAGCAAGCTCACGAATCGACCGAGCGCTGGTGTCGATGTCTCTTCTGCCGTTCTTATTTGACGCAGAACACATCTCACCAAAAGAGCCGATTTCTGACCATGGTTTTGCGATCCAGGTTGCACTCAAGGTGGATGACAGAGCCAGGATGGGGCCTGGTCTGTGGAGGCTACAAGCATCCATGTCGCAACAGCCTGGTGTCAGACGAATCATCGAAGAGACCTTGCAAAAGATTACGGTCCAGGACGGGAGGAGCTTTGCTCATCTCGAGACTTACAGTTCGGTTGCGGGCTTACACAAGGGAAGAGAAAAAAAGGGTGCGTGCGACTTACACGCATCTCATATCTGTTGTGGCGGCGCTGAGGCAGGAAGTGATGGGTAATCCGGGGTGCACCTGGCGGAGATCGCTCCTGGATGAGAAGGAGGCGATGCTGAAAGAGTACTTGGCGTGGCAGCAGGAAAGGCTCCACCTCATGGCTGGGCTCGACTGGGAACTCATGGGCGAGATCTCATCAAAGCAGCTGTCGGGACTGGTCAAGACGAGGAAGAGTCGGACTCGTATTATGGAGGTGAAACTGGCCGGTGCAGTTGTCTCTGATTCGCGAGAGGTTCTGGCAGCTGCGTCGAACTTCTTTCGTGACATTTTCGGGAGAGATAGACGGGCTGACTTTGAAGGTTGGTCTCCCATACCAGAGAGGTCCCTACGAGAAGAAGATGCAGCAGGGTTGGATGCGGACTGGTCAGAGGAGGAAGTGAAAGCGGCTTTTGCTGCTTTAGCGAAAAACAAGTCGCCGGGCAGTGACGGCTTACCGAAGGAGTTTTTCGAGGTCAACTGGGACCTACTGGGTAGGAGTTTCATGGCCCTGGTCAGAGACTTCACGGCTACAGGTGCTGTGCCGGGGAAGGTCAAGGAAGTTGTGACCATTCTCCTGCACAAGAAGGGAGATAAGGACCAGTTGAGCAACTACCGGCCAATCACTCTCCTATCCTTCGCCTACAAGATTCTCGCAAAAGTGATCGCGGACAGGGTTAAGAAAGTTTTACATCGGGTGATTTCGCCCGAGCAATACGGGTTCATACCGGGGAGGAGGCTCACCGACGGGGTCGCGCTGGTAGCTGACATCATCGACGCAGCAAAGAATGGCGAGGAGGACTGGTACTTGCTGTTGGTCGATTTTCAAAAAGCCTTCGACTCGGTGTCGAGAGACTTCGTCTTCCACGTGCTCCATCGCATGGGCTTCCCCCCTCGGATGGTTACCTGGATAAGAGGTCTACATGCCGGCACAACCACGAAAATGTTAGTCAACGGCTGGCTAGGTGCTGGAATCGAGGTGGTATCAGGAGTAAGACAAGAATGCCCGCTGGCTCCCTACCTCTTTCTTTGCGCGGTGGAGCCGCTGGTGCAGATGGTGGAATCGAAGCGGTTGGGTCTGGATGTCGCAGGTCAGAGACTGTCGTACATGGGATACGCAGACGACACGACGCTGGCCCTGCAGGGAAAAGAGCAATTGGCGGAGGCTGAGTCCATCCTGGATACATTCGAGAAGCAGTCCGGGTTGGCGACCAACAAAGCAAAATCCACGATCTTACCACTAAGGGCGGACCTGGGGAGAGATGATGGGGGCGCTTTCAAGTGGGCGAAGCCGAAGGACGCGGAACGACGGTTGGGGGTTTGGGTCACACCTGACGGCAGTGGGCTGCCAACATGGGAAAAGGCGTTGGAGGAGATTAAGAGGAGGTTAGCACTATGGAAGCAGAAATACCTCACGGAGAAAGCGCGGGGGGCGGTGGCGAATGGGTACATCCAGCCAGTCATGACCTTCCAGGCGCAAGTATATCCGCCTCCTGCATCGGTGTGGAAGGAGATAGAAAAGCTGCTGCACAATTTTGTCTCGGGAAACAAGGCAACGCCTGACAAGGTTTTCCTTCTCTGGAGCACAGAGCTGCTCTACACTCTGAGACATGAAGGCGGACTGGGGGTTCAAGATCCAAACATCACGCTGTCGTGTTTGGCGGCCAGGAGAGTCGGCTTGATGATGACGGAGGTAAATCAGCTCAAGAAGGAGCTGATGATGCGAGCAGCCGATCTCCCGTTGAAGCTGGACACTTTCACGGCACACGAACGATTACTGCGGCACTGGGAGGGTCGGAGTCAAAGGTGGAAGCAAACGTGCGAACTCTTCATGAAATCGCCCCTCAGCATACGGACGGTGGGGGTGACGGAAGCGGAGGTGGCGAAGGAGAGGATAGTGTTTAACCGGGCCATCATGGTGGGAGTAACATCCCCGATGGGCGGACAGAAGGATGCGGAGAATCTGTGGGACTGGGTGCTGGGCGACCTGGTACGGCGACAGCGTGACGGCACCGCCATGCTAAAAACCATGGCTGAGCTAACAGAGGAACTAGGAGGGAAGGGCCCGGCTAAGCTAGTGCTGATAGATTTCGTAGCTGCACCAGCAGAATGGAGGGAGGCCTTGCTGACCCCCTGCTCGAGCTCGGCTGACAGGGGCTTAGCCGGCGCAACATCGCTTCCGCGTGTCCCAATTCTGGAGGGAGGGGAAGTGATTTCGCTGAAGCAGATGCGGAGACACTGGTCGGGGAAACGCGGAATGTCTCAACGAATGATGCGCTAGACCGACAGGTGGAATGGGTCGATCAACTGGAAAAAGATTTTGGGAATTCGAGAATCTCTGGTCACCCCGAGCTGTCAAATTATATATGCTGTAGTTTGTTTAGGCTGTAGTGGGGTAGCCCATATAGGGTACAACCCAATTAGGGTTTACTACTTGTACTCATGCATGCTGTTAGTTAACACATTCCTGCTTGCTATTTTGACATGGTTTCAGAGCAGTAGGTCCATAGGACCGTTTTTTGTTTACCGGGCCCACCATACTTAGCGACCGACTGCGGTTACCGGGTTACCCCACTGCCCTTCGCCAGCGCCCTGTGCCAGCGCCCTGCCCTGCGCCAGCGCCCTGCCCTGCGCCAGCGCCCTGCCCTGCGCCAGCGCCCTGCCCTGCGCCAGCGCCCTGCCCTGCGCCAGCGCCCTGCCCTGCGCCAGCGCCCTGCCCTGCGCCGGCGCCCTGCCCTACGCCCGCGCTGCTGCCCTGCGCGTCGCACCCTACGGCAGCCAACGCGTCGCGCGCGTCGCACCCTACGGCAGCTCGCGCGACGCGTTCTGCTGCCCCGCGCGTCGCGCCCTACGGCAGCCCGCGCATCGCGCACGGCTGCCCCACGCGTCGCGCCCTACGGCAGCCCGCGCATCGCGCACGGCTGCCCTGCGCGTCGCGCCCTACGGCAGCCCGCGCGTCGCGCGCTGCTGGCCTGTGCATCGCGCCCTACGGCAGCCCGCGCGTCGTGCACAGCTGCCCTGCGCGTCGCGCCCTGCTGCAGCTCGTGCGTCGCGCCCTGCTGCCCTGCACAGCGCGCGCCCTGCTGCCCGCGCCGCCCAGGCCGAGCCGCCCTACCCGACCCGATCCGCCCTCCTGCTCGTGCTACTACTGCTGCTACGGGTGGATGTGCTACTAGGAGTGCTGGAGGTACTGCAGCCTAGCCTCACCGGGCTGCTCTGCTCCTCTTTCTGCTGCTGCTGCTGCTCGTGCTGCTGTCTTCCCTCCGTACCGCCCTCCTAGTCGCGCGCCTCGTTGCTTACCCGCTATGACTTCACTTCGTAGTAGCAGTTGCTGTGGAGCTGTTCAGTGGGGAGGTTCTGGCGGTGGCCAGATGCAGCTACAGCGGCGTCCGACCCTTACGTCCCGGCAGCTTCGTGAGTGGTTTTTCCAGCGTGGGACGTCTCCGAGTCCTGGTCGCTGCTCGTACGTCATTCGCACAGGTCGTCGGGCTGGTCAGACCTGTGGGACACCTGGTCACGCACAGTCCCGCTGCTTCGCCTATTTGTCTGACGCCTGGCACGCACAGTTTGGCGACGAGGCTGAGACACCCCACTGGCTTGAGCTGCTTAGGTCGGGCGTTGATGTCTTTGCTTTAGACTATGACGCCATCCTTACTGCCATGTCTCCTTTGCCTGGTGGTGCTGAGAGTGACTGTTACCTGTGTGTGCAGTACGACCCCGGTATAGACGTTGCTACTCTAGGTGCTAGTGAGGCTGCTGCCTTAGGTGCTAGTGAGTCTGCTCCCTCTGGTACTGCGCCTGTTGAGGTTTTGCACACCTTCACGCTTGACTCAGGTGCTTCCCGCTGCTTCTTTCGTGACAGTACTGCACTCACACCACTCCCTGCACCTATTGTAGTGTCTCTGGCTGACCCCTCAAGGGGCCCAGTCCTTGCACGGTCCACCACTGTGCTTCCGTGCCCGGCGGTTCCGTCTGGCTCACTGTCAGGTCTCCACATCCCCTCGTTCTCTACGAACTTGGTGAGCAACGCTGCCCTTCAGGATGTGGGGGTTAATACCTTCACCCCTGCATGGCAGCGTGTGGCGATCTGCACGTGTGCACAGACTGGCCGTCACCTGGCCACGTTCACCCGTCGGCCAGGGTCGAGTCTTTACACACTGACGACTGTGTCTCCTCAGGTCGCTGCTGTCGGTCAGGTGTCTGCGTCAGGTCTGGTAGCCTCCCCTTGTGAGTGTCGCTCCCTGTCGCACCAGACTCTTCTCTGGCACCACCGCCTGGGTCGCCCTTCCTTGCCCCGTCTACGTGGCATGCACCGTCGCCTCCTTGTGTCTGGTCTTCCCCGGTCGCTCCCTCCCCTCCCTGCCTCGCCTGCGCCGCCCTGCCTTCCTTGCGTCGAGGGGCGGCAGCGCGCCGCTCCTCACTCCTCCTCGTTTCCCCCGACAGAGGCTCCCCTGCAGACCCTCCACCTGGACGTGTGGGGCCCAGCCCGCGTCACTGGACAGGGCGGCGCGCGGTACTTTCTGCTGGTTGTCGACGACTACTCGCGTTACACCACGGTCTTCCCCTTGCGCACCAAGGGTGAGGTCCCTGCTGTCCTGATCCCTTGGATCCGATTAGTTCGTCTCCAGCTCCGCCGCCGGTTCCGGTCGTACCTTCCTGTCCTGCGTCTGCACTCTGACAGAGGTGGTGAGTTCTCCTCTGACCTCTTGCGGGCCTTCTGTCAGAGGGAGGGCATCGAGCAGTCGTTCACGCTTCCGGGCTCACCACAGCAAAATGGGGTTGCTGAGCGCCGCATTAGCTTGGTCATGGAGATCGCTTGTACCTCCTTGATCCATGCGGCGGCTCCCCATTTTCTGTGGCCGTTTGCGGTCCGGTACGCCGCGCAGCAGCTCAACCTCTGGCCCCGTGTGTCCTTGCCGGACACCTCGCCCACACTGCGTTGGACGGGAGAGGTTGGTGATGCGTCGCGTTTTCGGGTCTGGGGTGCTCGTGCCTTTGTCCGCGATACGTCCGCGGACAAGCTCTCCTCCCGCACTATTCCCTGTGTCTTCCTTGGCTTTGTCCCTGACGCGCCGGGCTGGCAGTTTTACCACCCCACCTCGCGCCGGGTCTTTGCCTCCCAGGACGTCATCTTTGACGAGTCGGTTCCTTTCTACCGTCTCTTCCCCTACCGCACTGCCCCTCTCCCTCCCCCGCCGCTTTTCCTCGCTCCAGGTCCCCCTCCGGTAGACCCCCTCCCCCCCTCACGGTCCCGCTCCTTCAGGTGTGTCTCAGGTAGACCCACTCCCCTTGGCTGAGCCTTTGGAGGTCACTTCCGACACCTCTGGCCCAGCTGAGGGGGGTGACGTTGCTGCTGACGCCCCGGCGGCCTACCGCCGCACACCACGCTTGGAGACCCCTCCGGGTTTCCCATCGCGACCTTCTTCGCCGCCTCTGCAGCCGACTACTGTTGACTCTGGTGCTGCTGGGGGTGGTGCTACTCGGGGTGCTGCGTCTGGGGGTGCTGAGCCTGTGCGTGAGGTGCTGGGAGGTGTGGGGCCTGAGGGTGCTGAGCCTACGAGTGCGGGGCCTGAGGGTGCTGAGCTGGAGGGTGCCGGGTCGGGGGGTGCTGAGTCAGCTGGCGTTCCTACGGGTCGTGCTGCTGGGGCTGGAGGTCCTGCTGCTGGGGGTGCTGCTGCCGGAGGTACTGGGGTTGTAGGCCCTGGAGCTAGTGCTGTCGACCTGGAGTTGGAGGCCCCGCGGTGCCCCCCCGCCGCTCACCACGCTTGGCGACCCCTCCGGGTTTTCCACCTCGACCGTCTTCGTCGCCTCTGCGGCCGGTTCCGGTTGCCTCTGGTGCTGCTAGGGGCGGTGTTGCTCGGGGTCCTGCGTCTGGGGGTGCGGAGCCTGGGGGTGCTGAGCCAGAGGGTACCGGGTCCGGGGGTGCTGAGTCTGCTGGTGTTCCTCTGGGTCTCCCTCTTTCTGCTGCTGGAGCTGCTGGAGCTAGTGGTCGTGGAGACGCTGGGAGCACTGGTGTTTCTGGTTCTGGACGTGCTCGTACCGGGGGTACTGGAGCTGCCAGGACTGGCGGTACTGCTGGAGCTGGAGGTGCTAGTTCTGGGGGTGCTGAGTCTCCTGGCGGTCCTCCTGGTGCCGCGTCGCAGCGGCCGCCTCTCTCGCGACAGCAGCTACGCGAGTGGTGCGCTCAGCGCTACCGCCGTGGGGGTGCTGCGCCTGGGGGTGCTGGGGCTGGACGCCCTGGAGCTGGTACTGTCGCCTCTGGAGTTGGAGACCCTGGAGCTGGAGGTGCCGGTTCTGGAGGTGCTGCTGCTGGAGGTACTGAGGCTGGAGACCCTGGAGCTGGAGGTGCCGGTTCTGGGGGTGCTGCGACTGGAGGTACTGAGGCGGGAGACCCTGGAGCTGGAGGTTCAGGCGCAGCTGGAGGCGCTGGAGCTGGAGGTTCTGGAGCTGCTGCAGGCGCTGGAGCTGGCGACCCTGGAGCTGCTGGAGGTGCTAGAGCTGCTGGTGCTGGTGGCACTGCACAGCCACGACTGTTCTTCGCTCCGCCGTCTCCGTCGTCTCAGCCACCGCCTGACTCTGTACTTCGCCAGGTTCTTAGCCTCCCGTCGTCTACTGGTCTTCCGTTACAGCCTGGCTCACCGCTGCCTGCTCCTTCTCCTTACACCGAGCAGACAGGAGGTCTTGCTGAGCGTCGTGAGCCTGCGTCGCGTCCTGTGTCGCCTTTTCGCACTGGTCGTACTGGTCGTCGTGTTCCTCGTGAGCGTCCGCCGGCTGTCCCCGGCACACACCTCATGGCCCTTCGTCCTTCCTCTGCTCCGCAGCGTGTTCCCCTGCCGTCCCCTCCTGCGTCTTCTCTGCCTGACGTTCCGGACCCTGAGTCTGACCGGTTTCGTGCTGCACACCCTACTGTCACGCGTCTGTTAGCCACTGTTGTCACTGACCCGTCGTTTGAGTCTGCTGCTGCGTCTGCCTTAGTCGCTGAGCTTGTTGACTTTGCTGCTGCCTGTCGTCTCGACTACGCCGCCAGTCTTGTTGCCGAGTCTGAGTCTGTCTGTCCTCCGTCCATCGGGGGTGAGTGTGCTCTTTGCACGGACGTCCTTGAGGACAGGCACGAGGACCTTGAGTGTCTTGCAACCGCTGCGCCTCATCTCGTGGCCATGCTGCTTGCCCCTGAGGGAGACCCGGATGCACCAGACATCCCGACCCCGCGCTCTTACGCTGAGGTGATCGCGGGTGAGTACTCCTCTCAGTGGCAGACAGCCATGGACGCAGAGATGGCGT